GACATCTTTCAAGCTTTCCAAGCTACAAGAAGATGAGTTTGAGGACATTAGACTTGTTATTGTCAACCAATTATCCTCTTTTTTTTATATCGAAGCAGCCGCGCAGGCAGAAGCCTAAATGCCGGAACACCGTGGCTGCTATGATGATCCCTAAAAAATTGTGTTTATACGATTTTTGAACTGCCTGAGGCTAGTAGAACTGGGAAAAGCTTCCTCTTGTAGATTGTTCTACAATCTCGACACCCTCGGGATAAAGGAGCGGTCGTATCCGCCAGTTCTGGATGTCGAAGTCCGACGCGGTTAGGATTGGACGCCAAAGTCAGGCGGGTCTGGTAGGCCTTATCTGGGCCTTGTATAGATTGAGAAGGTCATGCGGAGAAAAGTGCTTCTTAGCCCTAAACCAATAGCATAGCTTTTTCTCAGCAGCTGCAGCTATTGACGAGATATGTTCGTGCCAGATAAGGTCCTCGGTGATCTGGACTCCGACCAGCCGAAATGAATGGCTCTTTGGCAGAACTCGGCCATCCATCGAAACCGGGTGAGCGCTAGGACGCCTTTTGTTCGTCAAAGTACAGTACTGTGTTTTGGAAGCATCGAACTGTACAAGATGGTTGCGTCCCCAAGCAGTGGTAGCCTCCAGGTCTCTTGTCAGAGAGGAAGTCGTCGCTAGTCTTCTTTTTTCCAGCTCAGCGGCAGAGATCCGCTTCTCACTCTGAATTCCTGCATGTAGAGTGCTGTCATCAGCGAAGCTGTGGATTGGGTTGATGGTGCAGGACAGGAGGTCACGGATATGTATGAGAAACGGTGCTGGAGCCAAGACCGATCCCTGCATTTTGCATCTAGTCACATCCTTCTTAAAAAAGTTTATTATATTTTCGATAAATGTATCTTTATCATCTCTGTATTTTCACCAATTACTCGTACTTAATGGCTTCATCAACATAAATTCGAATAAAGAAAGTAACTGTACCTGTACATACAATAAAATCGAATCCTCTTCTCCGCCATTGCGCAAACGTATCTATTAAATACCAATCTAGTTAAAGGCGTTGCTTTCTTTTCTAATCTCGTTCATGCCTTCACGGAACATCAGGAAGAATGCTAAGCTGGTTACACAACGTGATCTTTACGGGCTTATCGCTAATGTGTTGTACAGAAAGCAAGAGTTAGTAATGTAGGAGCTGATTAACAGGCTGTATAATGAAACAATTGAGGGGCCCGGAAGTAAAAGGGTTTAAGTACATTTTTAGTGGTTCTGAGATAAATGGCTTCAAAGTTTACTTGAATTTGAAAATTCCAGGAATAAATTTATCAAAGTATGATACTATATTAAGTTTATTTAAATGCCAATAAAACATTACAAACAAAAAACATTTTCTTAATTTTACTTTTTTATTGTCATTTTTGCAAAAATGTACTTGAATCATTATACATGTTACAAAAATTATGGCGGTAACATGATTCAAGTGCAACTACCGTACTAAACCAAACATTATTTAAAAATAATCTATAACAAAATTTCTTATTCATAATCAGAATCTAATATTTGGATGTCTTCATCATTTTCTTGATCTGAATCAGCTGGTCTTGGTTGGGGTTCATCTATATCAGGTACTTTTTGGCTTGATGTCGGGGTCTGTGTTTGTTTCTTTTTTCCTTTTTTTGTTAATGTTTTCCCATCGTGCTTCATGGTTTTATAAAATGTATGGTGAATGGGCGGAATGTATTCCAATAAGCTAAGCGAAGTTGGCGACTTTAATCTTTATTGAAGTGCCATTCAAAAGTTAAAACACGGACGCCGAACTTGAGGTTGCCATTAAGCAACTGCTAAACTCTACATCAATGTTTAGGGTACTGTTGTATCGAAATGTTAGTCTTTCACTTTTATAGTAAGCAAACCAGCAAATTTCTTTCCATTTTAAGGGGTAACCGTCACTATTTTTTTTTGATCGTTCATAATTTCATTGAACGGCGAAAAAGAGTAAAAATGGTCTTTGTTCATATTGTACACAATAAATTTGGCCGATGTGCCTCTTATTACAGTCTCCCAATCTGCGGGGACAAAAACTTGAGGGATTTGCCTTTTTTTCTTCTCGATTAAGCCAAAACTACGGTCACATTCCATGTAAGTGTGCCCGGGTTCAAGGAACTTGTGATGAAACTCAGATATATCTGTAGCTTGAACAATAAAACTAAATAGTTTAGCAATGTTTTCATTCTTATTTTGTCCTCCACACGAATCACTGTATGCAATTATCTTCGTAACTGTAGATGGAAGGCTTTGCACAAATTTTATTAAACATGATCTCATCTCCTGTGAGCCCCTGGATGCAATAGGTTCGTTCCATGCATATATATAACTTTTTCCAGCCAGTAAGTCAAAAACACAGAAATTATACGTCCATAATTGACGAAGATAAAATACTTTAGAGGTGGTTAACAATGGCGTCGGCAATGCCTGTTGCAAATCAAAACAAATTACAGCCGTATTTTTAGAATCATTTTTATTTTTAGCAATATCAGCTTTTTTGGGATCTGTTGCTTTCTGGGCCTTTCTTTGGTGCAGCTCGAGGTATTGCTTGGCATTTTTAATCAGGTCTTCATTTGTAGAATATTTTATTAAATTTTGTAAATTGTCACAACGACTGCAGGTATCACTATAGCGCTTGTGGAATCTTAAATTGAATTCCGTATTGAAAATATGCATGTAATAGGACTCTTTTACTGGTAATTCTTGTACAAAACTCCTGATATAAATTTGTACATCTTATCGATACTTAATTCTCCTGAGAGATACCTTGCGTCCTCAATCAGTACTCGTTTTGTTTATTATTATAACACTACCAACACTGCAAAATGCGTATTTTAAACTAAGAATAAGTAAAACGTTGAAAACACGTCACACGTAGAACATTGAAAATATACTAAGTGACATATAAATCCGAACACCCAGTTTAAATGGTTTTATTTTAATAAAAGTTGGTGTATTTATCTTACTGTAAATAACAAGTGAAAAAATGTTCAGCCTTATCAGTTGGACATTCCGGTTTTTATACTGCTTTTTTTTAATTCACTAACGCTCTAAAAATGAATATTTCAGCCGCAGTAAAGAATCAACGTTGACGGATTTTGGTTCTTGACATCCTTTACGATCGGTTACGATGCCTAGAGTACGGAGACCTGTACGATTTCGTCAACTTACTGAGTTTGATAGGGGCCGTATAGTGGGACTTCGGGAAGCCGGACTTTCTTTTTGGGCAGTTGCAGTTAGAGTGCAAAGTAGTGTAGACACTGTGGTTAGGTGTTGTCAGGCATGGCTTCGAGAAGGCCGTACGCAAAGAGCAAGGGGCACTGGACGCCGCCGTAGAACAACAGACCGTGAAGATCGCCGCCTAAGATTATTGGCCTTAAGGGACCGTTTCTCCACTACCAGGTCCATTGCAAATGAATGGTTTGCAGAACACGGAAGACCTATTGGCATGCGAAGTGTTTACCGACGAATGAGAAGTTTTGGCTTGTTTTCATACCGGCCACACTGGGTCCTCCCTTTAACTCGAGAACACCGACGTAATCGCCTTGAGTGGTGCAGACAACGGTCACTCTGGGATCAGGAATGGAACAGTATTGTCTTTAGTGACGAGTCTCGATTTTGTTTAGGCATGCACGATGGTCGTGCCAGGGTTAGAAGGCGACGTGGTGAAAGGAGGAATAAAAAGTTTTTTGTTGAAAAACATGTTCATCACAGACCTATTGGCATGCGAAGTGTTTACCGACGAATGAGAAGTTTTGGCTTGTTTTCATACCGGCCACACTGGGTCCTCCCTTTAACTCGAGAACACCGACGTAATCGCCTTGAGTGGTGCAGACAACGGTCACTCTGGGATCAGGAATGGAACAGTATTGTCTTTAGTGACGAGTCTCGATTTTGTTTAGGCATGCACGATGGTCGTGCCAGGGTTAGAAGGCGACGTGGTGAAAGGAGGAATCCACAGTTTTTTGTTGAAAGACATGTTCATCACACTGTTGGAGTTATGGTTTGGGGTGCCATAGCTTATGGTTCCAGGTCACCTTTAATCTTCATCAGAGGTAACATGAACGCGTAGTTCTAGAACCCCATCTTTTACCCTATCTTGACACCCTGGCAGATCCAACTTTCCAACAAGGTAATGCCCGACCACATGTTGCAAGATTCACAATAGACTTCTTTCAACATAATGATGTCACATTGTTACCATGGCCACCAAGATCTCCCGATTTATCCCCAATTGAGCACGTGTGGGATATGATGGGTAGGAGATTGCTCAATTTGCAACGTCCTCCTCAGACTCTAGAAGCACTTCGAGAGGAGTTGATGGTTGCCTGGAATGAGATACCACAGGAGGACATTGACCAGCTGATCAGAAGCATACCTAGGCGCGTTGGAGAATGCGTAGCACATCAGGGTGCATCCACACATTATTAAAGGTCAAAGGGCTTTAAAGCAGTGCAATCATTTTGAAATTTTTATCATTTACTTATTATGCTTCATTAAGTACTTATACAAAATTTTATTAAAATAAAACCATTTAAACTGGGTGTTCGGATTTATATGTCACTTAGTATAGTTGCCAAAGCCTTAGAAGTGAAATGGTTCAAGTCCACTTGAATCATTTTACCACATACTGTATTAGTGGATATTTTGATATGTTCTCAAAGACTACGGCTACGACTTACGGCTAATAACCATAGAAGTTGACGCCGTCAAAAAAAAAAGACTATGAGAGGTGGCGTCAGGGAACGTTGCCTGCATTTAAATCATTTTACCACCAAGTTAGGATATGCTTTAGGTATGATATTCTGCACTTAGACCATTTAATTAAAAAAGTGCACTTGAACCTTTTTACTTCCAAACCCCTCAATTATTTTAGACGCAAGCCTCGTAAGGGAGATCATTCGTTTGTTCAAGAATTTGGGAGTTTCACCTGGAATATTTTGGAACAGTTTTCGGAACAACTACTTACGAACATGTTAATATGTTCTTTCTGAATTTTGGCTGCTCCGTATCTTTGCCGTTTGATAAAATTGCGACCATGTTCTTGCACCGTTATTATCTCCAGTCCTGTTTCAAAGAAAATAACTCCATGACAAATTAAACTAGAGAAAATTTCGTATGACTCATGTATTAATATTTTTTGTGCTTATTTCAATACATTTTTTGACGTATTTCCAACATAGTGTCGTTAACAGTGAAAATACGAGGAACCAAAGTGAACACTTAGAAGAAAGCGCACGTCGAAATATATGATTTTGTATGGACATTCTCACTGAAAAATAACCTAAGAATACAGATATTATCAAAGAACCATCTTGTCGTAAACGGTGGCCACCAAACTGTTGTAACGAGAAAGAGGCAATCAGCTTTTAGTCTATCATTGCCGCCATATAGCGCGTAACGTGCACCAGCAAGCTGATTGTGCTCATTAGAGACAAGGTGTCAAATTAGGAATTTTACTCAGGTAGTTGAACGAAATAGCAAGGATAATTGTATAATGGAAAATTACCACGTAATAAATAATTTGAAATATTGTTAAATGTACATTATTGATCAGAGACATACAGGTATACAGAACAGTTTAAAGCACTATCTTTGACTTTCTTGAATCATTTCTCATCCAATTCAAAGTAAGGTGTTGGAGAGGTACATAAATCGGAAGCTTCTGGAGTACCTTGATCGTAGCTTGATTAGCGACAGGCAGTACGCTTTCCGCCACCAGCGATCCTCAGGGGACTTCCTAGCTTACGAAATTGTGGAGTAAACTCATCCAATCTTATGACGTTGCTCGTGTCGTTGCTCTGGATATCACGAAAGCGCTCGATCAGCTGTGGCACGCTGTCTTCTTATGCTAACTTCCAGAGACTCTCTGACCGCAAGATACCCGTCGTAAATGACGGGTTCTCTTCTTCATCCCACAACGTCAACGCGGCAGTTCGCCAGGGATCAATCTTGGCTCCGACACTATCTCTCTTACATATCAAAGACCTGTACGATCGATCCAATCTAAAATTTTTGCTGATGGCAGCACTCTACATGCAGGAATTTAGAGTGACAAGCCGATCTTTGCCGTTGAGCTGGAAAAAAGAAGGCTAGTGACGACATCCTCTCTGACAAGAGACCTGGAGGCTAACACTGCTTGGGGACGCAACAATCTTGTACAGTTTAATGCTGTACTTTGACGAACAAAAAGTATCCTAGCGCTCATCCGGTTTCGATGGATGGCGGAGTTCTGTCAAAGAGCCATTAATTTCGGCTGGTCGAAGTCCAGATCACCGAGGACCTGATCTGGCACGAACACATCTCGTCAATAACTGCAGCTGCTGTGAAAAAGATAGGCTATTGGTTAGGGCTAAGAAGTACTTTTCTCCGCATGACCTTTTCACTCTATATACAAGGCCCACATAAGGCCTAGCCTCGAATATTGGTCACACGTTTGGGGTGCTGCCGCCCGACAATGTTCATGCTCGATGCTGTCCAGAGAAGGGCTGTCCGATTGATCGATGACTCTTCTCTAACAATCAGTCGACGATTCAGCTCTCTTTTACCGCTACACCAAGGGGCTTTGCTCGTCGGAGCTCTCCTACATGATGTCGCCGTGCGATGTGCCTGCCAGATAGACCCGCCTAACTTTGGCGTCCCATCCTAACGTGTCGAGATCGTACATCCAGAACTGGGCGATACGACCGCTCCTTTGTGCCGAGAGTGTCGAGATTGTGGAACAATCTACAAGAGGAAGCTTTTCCCAGTTCTACTAACCTTAGGCAGTTCAAAAATCGTATTAACAAAATTTCTTTGGGATCATCAAAGCAGCCGCGGTTTTCCGGCATTTAGGCTTCGGCCTGCGCTGCTTCTTCGATATAAAAAAAAATTATAAAGTGAACGATCTTTAAAATTACAAAGTCGACATATGTCCCACTTTTTCGTTAGGTTTGTCCCACTTTTTTCGTCAGGTTCGGCTCACTTTTTTCGTTGGATTTGTCTCACTTTTTCAATCTATCGATCTATCGGTCCATCGATCTATCTATCTATCGACCTACCGATCTATCGAACTATCGATCTATCGATCCATCGATCTATTAATCTGTCTTTGTGCCACTTTTTTCGCTAGGATCGTCCCACCTTTTTCGTTAGGTTAGTCTTTTTTCGTTAGGTTTGTCCCGCATTTGGACACTTTCCTTTAATAGCTAACTCAGCTCTCTACAACCGTAACCTTTATAAATATTTATTCAATTAAATTGTAAAGCCCTACACCTCTAAAATCACCAGTTGTAAGAAATTTTCAGGATGGGATTCAGCTATATGGCGATATTATCAATATATTTCTCTAATAGGAGTTTTTTGTTTGATCGACTGTATTATCCAGCTTGGACGGAGAGCGATTATCTGACCATTTTATCCGATATCGAGGCTTATTGGAAATGTTGTTCAAAGTAATTCTCATTTTTTTCTGTTTATTGGGAGGATTTATTCTAATACCCTCTATAAATCAACAGAGATGCTGAAATTTCTCTAATACCTCATCCACTTACTGTTCGTTTTGCTAGACACGCTATTAATATACCGAATAAAGAAAACTGTTAATAAAAATAAGACACAAAGAAATCAATATATATATTGATATATTGTATAAAATAGACTGTGATTGAGGTAAATGCTGCATCGGTAAAACATCAAGACTTGTTAAATATGGAATTAAAGAACATACAAAGGTAAATAACAAAGTGAGAAATCCCAAAATCGGCACTAAGCGAGAATGTATGGGAGACAGGACATAGGATAAAATAGTGATCTAATTTGGTTGAGTACCTTTGTAGGAAAGATCTAATTGTTATTCTCCAACCAAACTAATGCACCATGAGCTTTTATCGAGGTTTTCTCTTATGGTTTATTGTTGGATCGCAAACGCGTAGTTGTTTTACTTCAGCGTCTCAAGGCCAAGCTGCTGTGTTATTATTTTCTCACAAGGCAAACAACCAAATTATTCACCACGTATCTCTAAAGAGATGTTATATCTCTCCCCTTAAATGACTGATATAAAAAGAACCTAAGCAAACAAATGAACGTGTGCATCAATGCACATCTAACGTTGGATTGATGGACACAGAATCGTCATTGGGATTAAACGGTTTGTCCCTTCTTGAATTTTATTAATAATTATATTGTTTACGACAAGTGTATGCAGTCTATTATGTAAATGAATATAATGCAGTTTACTGTTTATTTATCTCATTACTTTGACAGCTTGAAACTCACAGCCCACTTGCCAAATCGAAATAAGGAAAACTTGTTTTTGAGGCAAATCGTGCCTACGTACTTAGCAACTTTTATCTTTATCGGGCAGTATTTTGTAGTGGCAGTACCCTTCTTTAACGCACTGTTCTGTAATAATTTCTGACAGTGTTGCCGGAGGTTAAGAAAATTATCAGATATATTATGTTTCAGAGTGAATGATAGATATTGTTAAGTGAAACAATTCTATACATACCTTGGTGGAGAAGGTCATTAATGTACTATTCCTATGATGCCTATAACAGATAAACTGCAAAATTGATCGATTATAATTCGGTTAATATTTACTAATTCAAATTATCGTGGTAGATCTGCCAACAAACACCAAATACCAAATTGAATGCAGAATTGCATTTTCTGGCCAGAGGATCGAACATTATATATTTGGTTTAAACTATGTTAAAGCAGGATCGGCTTGATTAAATCGATATGAACTAGTGGGTGTAGGTTGCTAATACTAATAATATTCTAATTTTTTAACGTCAAAATAAACATCGATACAAAAATTATTGAGATTACGCGATGATGATGAGAAAATTCAAAGATAGGCAAGAAAATAGGACGAAATAGGTGGCTAATGTAAGATTCTAAGGTCGTGAGGTGGATTTATTACCTACGATGTATTCTTTATGGTATTTTTGTTTCTAGAATGCGGTAGAAGCTTCCGCAGATCGAGACAGCCCCGTTCAGGGGTGGTGGGACGCATCATACATGGCAGGCAGAGTTCGAGAGGCGCATGGCCTTGGCAAGTAAGTATTTTTCACCAAGAAAAAGATCGAAATTTTTATTAAAACTTATAGGCCATTTTATACAGTTTTTTGTCTTAGTTTTTGATACAATTAACTAATAAATTTTCTCATACTTCATTACAAAACAATTCTTACTTAAAGATTGTTCCTCGTACTAATCTGTTCCTCAAATGACCCTTATTGCTTGTTATGATTATTAAAAAACTAAATTTAACAATCTCATCTCATCTACTCATCGATACAGTAAGTTCAATACCTATTCTCTTCCGAGCGAAAAAGGGCAAGGCAAAGGAATGGTGTAGCGATGTTGTCAGACATTGTGCGGGCCGCAATTTTGAATTCGTCCATTGAAAATTTTAGCGATCGCACGAAAATCAATCTCTACGCGACATACAGTCATTGCAAAAATTTCGTTTTAAGTACTAGCAAGATGATCGAATGACTGTCAGTGGGTGGTATTCAATACGGCACAGGAGCAAATAATAATAATAAACAAATTTATTCACAATTACATCCAGTAATTACAGTAACTCGTTTAAATAATAAATGTAATTGCAAAAAGGGCCAACGTACAGAAAAAACTGATACAAGTGCTGACCCAATTGAGTCAAAAGTAATGAACATCATGCTGTGAGAATTATAAGCTGAGTTGAGGAAGAAAAAATATAAACAGTTGAGATTAAATAGACAAAAATACAGAAAAAACAGTGACGCAGGATATTACTTCAGCCACATTAATTGTTGGAAGGTTTATTATAATGTTAGTTAATATATGCGTACATCATTTCATTTTTCAGTTTGTAGTAGATACTTTTGTAGTTGACTTTGAATGATTTTAAATATAGGTTGTTCGTCGTTCATCGTCAATATCTTCATTTAGAGATTGAAGGACTCAATCCTGAGAGAGCTATTAAATAACAACCTATACGTAGCACCTTCAACAATAATAGTTTGGACTTGAGAAGAATCTAGAATTCGGTATTAACTCTTTACAAGCTAGTTTTTTTTATAGATTGCAAAGATCTGCTATTTCAAATTGATGTTAACGTTGTCCCAGTTACGTTTTTCACATCTGCTTTCTTTAAGTCAAAAAATCAAATGCGGCCTGTAAGAATTTTGATATACGCGCTGACTTTTTAACTGGTATTCTATCCTCTCTTACTGAGGCTTATTGTTAAACATACAGTCCGGTGGGGTCAAATCTGGAGACCTGGGTGGCCAGTCAATGTCACCTCTTTTTGACATCAAACGTCCAGGGAACTTTCGTTGCAGAAACTGGATTGTTTCATTTGCAGTGTGGCATGGCGCACCGTCTTGTTGTAACCAGTAATCATCAAGACCTTTTTCACGCATTTGTGGGCAGACATAATGAGCCAACATCCACCGATATCGTTTCCATCGACTGTTTCGTTTTCGTTGAAGAAAAATCGCGCAATGATGGTTTTGGCGCAAACGCCGACCCAAACAGTCGATTTCCGGTCATGCAACGGCATTTCGTGGATCTCATGTGGATTTTGCGTCCCCCAAACGCGGCAGTTTTGTTTATTAAGGCCGCCAGAGAGCGTGAAATGGGCCTCGTCGGTCATCACAATTTGCTTCAAAAAATCAGGTTCAGCATCTGTTCAGCGACTGTTTGGGTGTATTTCAAGCAACGTGGACGGTCAGTTGGCAATATTTTTTGTATTAACTGCACCTTATAAGGAAACAAATGCAAATCGTCTTCCAAAATGCGCCGCAACTTGGTTCCACTGATGCCAAAATGCTGAGCGCCGTGACGATACGTCTTTTAAGTTTTGCATATGGAAATAAAACAACACGGTAGGTAGTTTTAAATGACTTTATTGTTTTTCGAAGTATTCTCCACGAAGATTAATACACATCTGCATTCGCTCGAACCAATTTTCGAAGCACTTATTCCACTCGTTTGCTGGCAGATCCAAAACGGCATTTTTGAATGCGTCGACTGCTTCTTCTGGTGACTGGAACCTTTGACCACGCAGTCTATTTTTAATTTTCTGGAAAGTAAAGAAATCGTTAGGACTTAGATCGGGACTATATAGAGGATGGTACAATAATTCCACGTTTTCTTCCGTTGAATACTGCGTTGTTTTTTGGGCTGTCATCTTTTTCGAAACACTTCGAGAACGGGTGACTTTTGTTAGCTCTTCTTCACCTTGGAACACCCAAACAGCCGACTGTCGTTTATTTTCTGGTTCATAACAGTAAATCCACGATTCATCACCACTAACAATGCTGTACACATTTTTTAAGTTTCCGGAATTAAAACGGTCAAACGTTTTTTGACACCAATTAACCCTGGCTGCTTTCTGCTCTTCAGTCAACAGGTGGGGTATCCAACGAGAAACTAATTTTCTTACTCCTAATTCTTCATGTAAAATTTTTTGAGTTAAGGTCTTTGAGATCTTCAAGGACGCCTCAATCTCGCGATATGTCACATGTCTATCTTCAATGATGAGTTTGCGCACAGCATCGACGTTTTCCTGGGTGACTGATGTTTTTGGTGCACCCACCCTGGGATCGTCGCTAAGACGCACCCGTCACGTTTGAATTCTCCATACCAACGGGAAATTGTCGACTGATGTGGCGCTTCGTTGCCGAAAACAGACAGTAACTCAGCAAGGCATTCTTGTTGCGATAATTGTCTCTGAAAGCTGTAATAAATTATGGCGCGAAAATGTTCTCGGTTGAGTTCCATTTTTCTAATGACTTGGTGACACTTAAATATTCACTATAGTGAGACCACTGCACGTATTGTTGTGAAACTTTGAATTTAAGTTTACTAAAGAGTGAGGTTAAGATTGAGTACTGACATTCGATCGCGGCCTACTATGTTTCTATATGCAAAACTTAACGCTGTCTCTGACCGCTTCAACCAATCCATTGGAACGTCTTGGTCGTTGATGAACGGTATGTTGACGATCTCCCACTGTTCCGTACTCAAGAAAATTCGAAACCAAACGACGAACAGTGCTGTCAGACGGTGTCTGTTTGCCACGATATTTTTGACGATATGCGCGTTGCGTTAACACAACTGGGCGACGATTTTCAATGTACATTGTGACTATTTCGGCGCGTTGTTTCGGTGTAAAGCGGTTCATGATTAAAATTCTAGTAAATTGACGTTTCAGAAATACGTATAACCAAATCACTCGGTTGGTAAATATCAAAGTCATTCGATGTTTCAATACCGACATAAAAGATGGCGCACCCGTTATTGACGTCTTCATTGTGCCAGTGGCGTAGAAAGTAAAACAGACCCTGGCTACTAGTGATGCAAAGTTTCGATACTTTTTAGGACTTGCAAGGACTCGTTACTTTCGAACTTTGGACTCGTTAGTTTAGTTACTATTTGGACATTTCGTTTAGAACCTACATTCTATATATTATATCAAATTATTACTTTGGGATTGATCCAATTATTATTTTTTGTCTAATGCCTTGCCTATTATTTTTTTTGATATTTGATACGTAGAAGGTACTTATATTTTAAACTCGTCGTTGTGAGACGTCTGGTTCGTTGGCTGTACGCTGTAAATAGTATTTAACAAGTGGCATAACCAGATGGGGACCGTGGAGGAACCACTCTTCTCACTCTTTACTTTAGCTGAGTAGCGTCCCCTGCCCTAACAGTCTGGTTACTCCCCTGCCCTACTTAACAGTCTGGTTACTCCACTGTAAATGGTGTTCAACAAAATACTTATAATAATAAAACATACCTGAAACCAAGTTCCTTTTGCACCTAGGCATATTTTCGTCTTCCACCCGCTGTTTTGCCCTTTCTCCTTCCAATGAAAGAGTCGGATGTTTAGTTTTCAAATGCTTCCTTAAATTGCTAATGTTTCCATTTTTATGCGAATAAATATTTTTACAAAGATTAGACTTTGCATTAGCTTCCGATATATTGGTGAAATGCATCCAAATAACACTTCTTTTTTGAGTTTGCGATTCTCCTGAATCGGACGCGGATGATTCCATATTTTTGTACAAATAATTATATTATTGCTCGAGCTTGTACGGCAACGTCCAAACCAGTAACAACCCGCCAACCGGTAGCTCTCAAAGTCAAATGAAAGGTGTACAGGTGTACACAAACATTGCCAACCTAAAGCTCCGCAGTCCGCAACTCTTTTGATAGAAGAGTATCTAAAGTTGCCTAAGCCTAACGATATTCGCATCATTTCATTTCCACCCAGTTTACATCCAAGAACCAAGTCACTTGCTGCTGGCGCTGGCAGTACTGGCTACATTAGATTCCAGTAACGTTTGTATCTAAAGTAATGTATAGTGTAGTAACTAACAGTAATTAAAAAGTATACATAGAAAAAGACCGTATCGCATTCAAAGTAACTAATTCAAATAAAAAGTAACGAGTCTTTTCAAAAAGTAGGACTCGTTACATTTAGTTACTCATTTGTAACGATTATTTTGTAAGCATTACTTAATTATTTTACATCACTACTGGCTACTGAATACGAATAACATCATTACAAATCATTCTAGAACTCCCATCATGCGTTCAGGTTTACGCTGACTACTAAATCACCCTGTATAGTCTCCTCTAACTACATGTTGGCCCAAAAAGAACGTCTTTGACGTCATCTAGCAGCGTTCCATCTTGAACAAATGCAATGTCCTGCTGGTGAAAGCTACATTGCGTGCGAGTCTTTGTAAATCAGCACATCAAAAGCATCAACCATATTAACAAAAAGAGACCCTTCCAGGCTACTGAGCCTTCATATATCATCACAACCTTGTCTACCACCTACATCCTTCCTGAGTCCTCAATCAACTTGTGCGCCAAAAGACAAAATGAGAGAAATTACGGTTGGAAAAAGGTCTCTTTAGAAGCATATAATGGCTTTTAAATTTGATTGCGCTATTAAAACATGCTATAACACTTAGGAAATAATTAATTTCGAGGAGACATGGTCTTTAACCAGTTCGCGGCAGAAATGTACGCTTGACGTTTAATTTGAGGAACAGCATTGTCTCACGTTCTAGCTCATTTTTCAAGGACATAGGTATTCATAAAAAGATATTTCAAGTAGGGGGGATGAGGATTAAAAATGTAAAGGATCAAGGACCGTAGACGTTTTTGGCCCTGAAAATAGATCAAATTTCAAGGTGGACCGTATCCAAGAAATGTTTGCCTTCTAATATATTAAAGCATTATTTACTTTCATAAACATTTTTTATTTTGGTACTCGATTGTTTTTACCTCCTACGCCACTGGTGAGGAAGTACAGTGCAACCCGCTTATAAATTGATGAAGTCATCCAAGCTTTATTATTTCCAAGATAATCGACGGGAATTGTTTTAACATTTATGAAACACCTGGGATTCTTAAATTCCCTTAAATAAAAAAAAAGTTCTTTGCAGCACTGCCATTGAATATCAAAACAAAATTCGAACATTCATTCTCTTACCTATTATCAATAGTTTCCGTTTTTCAGTACCAGAAGCATTAGCAGAAATCATAACAGTTATTCGCTCTTTTGATAGTTTCCCTCCATTTCAAGTTTCACCTTTTAATTTATGAGTTTTATCTGGTAGCATTCTATTAAATATCCCGTTTTGATCTGCATTGAATATGTTATCATCTGAATAATCACTGGATATTACGGGCCAAACTTGAGAAATCCAGTCATTGGTAACGTTCTTGTCAACTGAAACTGACTCACCACACATTTTTCCAAAAACAATATTATGTCTTTTCTTAAACCCGTCTAGCTAACCAGAACTACATTTGAAGTTATCTTCAATCAATTTCCAAATTCTTCAGCCTGTATTTGTAGCATAGGTCCACATACTGAAAAATTATCAGCACGCTGTTGTTGAAACCATTGAAACAGCATATCATCGACTTGGGAATGCAGCGATAGGCGTAATTTTTTTTTTGACTATTTGATTTCCAGTCATTTTTAATTTTGTCACGGTTTTTCCAAATATTTGACACGGTGGATTTTTTTATAGCCATACGAGCACATATATACTAAGTGACATATAAATCCGAACACCCAGTTTAAATGGTTTTATTTTAATAAAATTTTGTATAAGTACTTAATGAAGCATAATAAGTAAATGATAAAAATTTCAAAATGATTGCACTGCTTTAAAGCCCTTTAACCTTTAATAATGTGTGGATGCACCCTGATGTGCTACGCATTCTCCAACGCGCCTAGGCATGCTTCTGATCAGGTGGTCAATGTCCTCCTGTGGTATCTTATTCCAGGCAACCACCAACTCCTCTCGAAGTGCTTCTAGAGTCTGAGGAGGACGTTGCAAATTGAGCAATCTCCTACCCATCATATCCCACACGTGCTCAATTGGGGATAAGTCGGGAGATCTTGGTGGCCATGGTAATAATGCGACATCATTATGTTGAAAGAAGTCTATTGTGACTCTTGCAACATGTGGTCGGGCATTATCTTGTTGGAAAGTTGGATCTGCCAGGGTGTCAAGATAGGGTAAAAGATGGGGTTCTAGAACTTCGTGGATTTAACGCTGCGCGTTCATGTTACCTCTGATGAAGATTAAAGGTGACCTGGAACCATAAACTATAGCACCCCAAACCATAACTCTAACAGTGTGATGAACATGTCTTTCAACAAAAAACTGTGGATTCCTCCTTTCACCACGTCGCCTTCTAACCCTGGCACGACCATCGTCAATGCCTAAACAAAATCGAGACTCGTCACTAAAGACAATACTGTTCCATTCCTGATCCCAGAGTGACCGTTGTCTGCACCACTAAAGGCGATTACGTCTGTGTTCTCGAGTTAAACGGAGGACCCAGTGTGGCCGGTATGAAAACAAGCCAAAACTTCTCATTCGTCGGTAAACACTTCGCATGCCAATAGGTCTTCCGTGTTCTGCAAACCATTCATTTGCAATGCACCTGGTAGTGGAGAAACGGTCCCTTAAGGCCAATAATCTTAGGCGGCGATCTTCACGGTCTGTTGTTCTACGGCGGCGTCCAGTGCCCCTTGCTCTTTGCGTACGGCCTTCTCGAAGCCATGCCTGACAACACCTAACCACAGTGTCTACACTTCTTTGCACTCTAATTGCAATTGCCCGAAAAGAGAGTCCAGCTTCCCGAAGTCCCACTATACGGCCCCTATCAAACTCACTAAGTTGACGAAATCGTACAGGTCTCCGTACTCTAGGCATCGTAACCGATCGTAAAGGATGTCAAGAACCAAAATCCGCCAACGTTGATTCTTTACTGCGGCTGAAATATTCATTTTTAGAGCGTTAGTGAATTAAAAAAAAACAGTATAAAAACCGGAATGTCCAACTGATAAGGCTGAAAATTTTTTCACTTGTTATTTACACTAAGATAAATACATTCACCAACTTTTATTAAAATAAAACCATTTAAACTGGGTGTTCGGATTTATGTCACTTAGATATTTGCTTGAGATGAACCCTGCTCAAGCTCACTAATTATTGTGAACTTTTCTCGTAACGCCGGCTCCACACGTTGGCCCCAACGTTGACCCCAACGTTGGCCCCAACGCTACTCGCCCAACGTGTGTATCTAGAAAATGATAAAACCGACAGGCGACAGCCAACTACCAACGGTCGCTCCAACGTTGGGGCCAACGCTATTTTCTAGATACACACGTTGGGCAAGTGGCGTTGGGGCCAACGTTGGGCCCAACGTGTGGAGCCGGCGTAAAGTGAATGCACGTTTTGCACTTTTCGACATGTTTATAAGTCTCATAAATACAGTATAACACTGGTGGCCAAATTCGAATGCAAACTGCGAAGCCAAACCGCAGTAAACGATTGAATCAGCTAAATCTGCTTCAGAGAACTACCAAAATAGCTCGCATATAATGGATTAAAATAGTCCGCTATAAACGAGGGTTTTTTTTAAGCGAGTCTACAATATCCGAGGATTTTACATGCAATTATTTATAGGACCTTAAATTGTGTCCACTATATACGGGTTTCCATGATAAGCAGGTTCATTATAAGTGGATTCCACTGTATTATCATCGCGAAAAATGTCGAAAACGAGCTATTATGTGTTTTAGATATTATATGACATGTACATCACAAAAACTCATGGCACTCATTTCCGTCGTTAATCCTTGACCCCGCTATAGTTTGGAAAGTACCGCTCGGATTTTGATGAAAAATTCAAACGGTACTTTTCAAGCTAACAGACAGAGTGACAGACAGACAGAGAGACAGACTGAGAGAAATAAATGACATGGATTCGTGATGTGCATAATAACCAAAAAACATAATACATCATTTTAGAATTTTTTTGCGAACACAATACTTCCTTAAGTGGATTGTGAAATGAATGAATGGTTAAAGTTTTTTCTTTCCTCAGGTATCATTGCAGCTTCTACATCCACAATTCGGCTTCCTTGGTCACTGGTGCGGAGGAGTCATGATATCTCCAGAATGGTTGCTGACCGCAGCACATTGCATCAGTAAGTAAGTATCAAACACTGTCATTTCTCAACAAAAAATCAATTGCCCCGTTTCTTGAATCAAATGGTTACGAATAAACAGTCAACCTTTTTTAGGATATGAAAGCTTTATCAGTGATTATCGTATTCCACCTTCAAAACTAGCTTTTAGACTGATACAATAAAATTTCATTTGTTTTGTCCGCCCCACGTTGGGCGCCACGAAATTTGCCACGCCTTTTTTTGGTTAATTAATAAAACACAATGATAAATACTATCTAACGGTTGGTCCAAGCAGAACAGTTGTCTAGTGACGTGCAAATTTAGGCACTAGCTCAATAAAACGAAGAGTAGGGGGGGGTTAAGAGCGCCAGTGACTTAAGACGGATTAAGTTGGAACTTGTTTTGCTTGACCACCACACAAAAGGAGAATATAACAGAGATTACTAAATTCAAGTAACAGTACACACAGAGAGGGTCAAAATTCCATAAAAAAATGGAGGACGTAGCACCCAAACCAAAATGACTAAACTTAAGTTACACAAAAAAGGGTGGTAGTCCATCAATTGGCGCTTGGGGCCTAATATCCCAGAGTCCGGAAGATGACGAAACGATCCTTGCACCACGACCTCAACGGAAACAGAAAAACGAATCACGCAGAACACGTAACGTTCTAGAAGAAGGTATCTTGAATGGCCTTGAAGAAGATATGTTTTATAGGAAACCAACTAACGGAGAAAAACTACAAAGTTTTTTGCTGATCGTCAACACTATACTGAATCGCTGAGACAGAAAGATATAATGAGTGAAATTATACAATCAATAAACTATTAAATTTGCCAAAAGAAAATCATTGAAAAGGCTTTGGCCTAGAAATGGGCACTCTGTTATCAATGAAGAGAAATTCAAATTACGGATAAGTGATAAATAGTAAAAAAAAAGATTACGTGATTTTGGCACGTGACAGTGTAAGCTCCCAAACATGAAGACTATAGATAGGAGGATGAACGAGTGAGATGAAGCCACTGCGCAGCGAATTAATTTCAGGAGCTGCGCATGTGGCATCTCTCTCGGTCGCCGTCATCATGACTGCCAACAGCTCCAATTTTGACAGTCCCGACAAGTTTAAAGCGGATTATACTAATAAACTACGCAGAATTAGCTTCATATGAATACGTGTATCCCTTATGTAGTTCTATTTCTAGTCTTCGTGCTGTCAAAATGCCAAAATGAAAGCCAGGTTATTGTCGCCTGTCAAATAGAAGAAAATAGCGCAGGCGGATTGCCAACTATTCTCTGGACGCACAACCATACTCAACTGCAAAAGATAATTTCTTTCTAGGTTTTAGCGTTGTTGTAAAATGAACAAGAACCGTGATGTAGGCTAGACGACGGACATGCCTTTAACAAGTAATTGAGGACACCCAAAACGATTATAATATTAAATATCTTCAGGTGGATTACGTTAATCAATGGCTTTAAGAATAGTATAGGGAAACTAACCGACTCTTGTTTACCTTCTGTTTTACAAATAACAAAAATAAAAAACGTGTGAACATTGTGACGTCATGATTTTGGCATTGTTTGGGCATTACTGACGTACGACGACCAACGAAAATGACGTAGAAATGACGTCATTACGGCGGTCTGATTCACACCCAATTGACGTCATTACATAACGTCCATAGTATGTCGTATAAAAGACCAAATACAAAGTCGATATGACGTCTGTATGACGTAGATATGTGACGACTGTACGCCAATGATGGTGCGGTGTACGTGGCTTCCACCGTACTCAAAGCATTAAGAGTGGCGTGCGATTCGTAATGCATCTTTCTTATACTTCAGTACTTGACAACAGTAGGGGTTTTGGACAGTTACGAAATATATGCTTGAAAAATTTCAATTTACGATCTTGTGCCATAAAGTCTGCACAAATTTTTAAATTTCCGTATAGACAGAATTCTCACAAGTTTTACGTTTAACACAGAACCAACTACATATTCTAGTGATCTCTTCAAGTTACCATTAGCAGAATTGTGGACCGCGGTGCTGGGAGACTGGGACAGGGATGTGGAAGAATACTCGGAGCAGAGGATTCCCGTGGAAAAGGTGATCCTGCACGAGAGGTTCCACAACTTCCAGCATGATATCGGTATGTAAATAACTTGATAACAGCTCATCAGTATTGGAATACAACATAAATAATAAATAATAATTTTTGTTCGTCGTCTATGTGTACCCTTTCACTATCGTTTAAGAACAATTTCAGCAAAAATCTCGTCGTCTTAGTAAGTAATTATAGTTTTTATCTCCAAAGTTCTTATGTTGCTTTTTTTCAAAAATTGTTTTTTAGCTCCAGACGATGATGGCATAGACCATCGAAAGCTCGAGGTCAAATTGTAAGAGTGTACTTATGCTAAACTTTGCCTTCTACTGAAAGAAATTCAAGGATATATATATATATATATATATATACAGGGTGTTGCAAAACTTATACGACAAATTTTAATCACATATGCACTGTTATGAACGCAGTTGATTTCTCAAAAAAAAAATGTAATAAAAGTCCTACAAAATGATACAGTTTAACAGTTCACTTACTTATAAAAGCTGTTCAAAATTGTTTCCATTGACTGCAATGCAAGCTTGGGCGTGTCTAATCGAATTTCGACGCACTAATTCAAATACACTTCCTTCCTGCTGTGCCTGAAGGCTTAAATTATCGGCAGCCACTGTGATTACGACGCCTTGAAGTACGGTATACCGTTTTTCTAGCATCCCCGTAAAAAGAAGTCCGATCGGGAGACCGTGGAGGCGTATCTGGTACACCTGATTCAAAAAATCATGAACTTCTAAATGCGGAGGTGCCTCATCGTGCAGAAACCACATGCGTGCTCGTACCGCCAATGGCACATCTTCAAGAATTTGAATTAGTTCGCCGAAATTGGATTAGACGGATTGCAGTTAATGGAAACAATTTTGAACAGCTTTTATAAGTAAGTGAACTGCTAAACTGTATTATCTATTATCTCGATTTCTGTAGAACTTTTATTACATTTTTTTTTGACAAATCAACTTTTTTCGTAACAGTGCATGTGGTTAAAATTTGTCAGATAAGTTGTGAAACATATAATTGGTCCTCCTGTTTTGAAGCACTCTGGGTTGGACCGTCTTTTATATCACATCGCAAAGTTATCAAAGGACATTTTATACAAATGGGTAACGGTGCCACTCCCACTTTAATACATATCACCAAGCATATACAGTGCTTCAATATCCCCTCTTTAGCGTTTCCAAACACAGCCAAACCCTCTAGTTTGAATATAAGTCGGGCAATAAAGCCTGACGTCCTACTCGTTGGATAATTTCACAGCTGAAATTACAAGTACGGATACTGTGTGCAGTGAAAAGAACTGGAACTTAAATGGATCCCAGAAAGAACAGTTTTAGTAGTTGAAATATTTAAATTCTTCTGGAGCGGAGCCGTGCTCAAAAAGTTCTCATCTCGGCAAAGGCATAAACTTTTTCAAAGCTACAAAGGAGGCTAATAATTCCGATATACATAGGATGCATACAGAATCGAGCTTATTTTTGTTTTCTGTGCACGTGTCGGGTCAAGAGGTGGAAAAAGAGTGGGCTATGCCAACTACGCATTCGAGTTTCTTCTATTGTTTCTTGAGAAATTGCGTTTCAAAAGTTGTTAGTAGTTGCCCTTGCATATTAGAACGATCCCTTTACTTCTTTCGCACAAATCCTGCAGATAAATCCGATATACAACCTGACGGCATTCACAATACTAGGCCAATATCTACGTTTTAAGCAAAATAATAATACAAATAATAATCATAAATCAAAGAATTTCGTAATTTGACCTAGAATAGCCTTTTTTACCAATATCCATTACGGCAAAATAACAGCTGATCATCTAGTAATATTTAAAAATTCCCCACATCGACAAATGACACAATCCTGACGGATCTGTCAACGCCAGGTAGACAGAGCCGTATTTGGTTGTTTTATTTGTATGCTACGGATTCATTTTGTACTTGCTTTTATTACAATCATGACTACATTTCAAGGTCAGATAGGAACAAAAAAAACCTTGCTGGATCGCCGGCAACATCCCCCCCTCCCAAGATGATGGAAATCTGGCTGAACATGAATTCTGGACCAACAATATGCTTCCCCTCTGAATTTTGCTATATGGGCGTTCCTGGTTAATACAATCATTTTAAGTTATTGATAAACGTCGTAGTATCTGAGTATTGCAGTTTTATTATGAGAGATTGATTAATAATAAGAATTCAATTTCAAAGTTTCGCGAAACGAATCTAGTTGATCAACTACCTAATTACTTTTAGATATTTTTCTTGAGTTTGATTTATCAATAAATGTCATTAAGTCATGTTTTCTCATCCAAAATATTCTAACAGGTTTCTGTTGGAATTGTGTAGCTAAGTACCAAATATACTAAGTGACATATAAATCCGAACACCCAGTTTAAATGGTTTTATTTTAATAAAAGTTGGTGAATGTATTTATCTTACTGTAAATAACAAGTGAAAAAATTTTCAGCCTTATCAGTTGGACATTCCGGTTTTTATACTGCTTTTTTTAATTCACTAACGCTCTAAAAATGAATATTTCAGCCGCAATAAAGAATCAACGTTGGCGGATTTTGGTTCTTGACATCCTTTACGATCGGTTACGATGCCTAATGTACGGAGACTTGTACGATTTCGTCAACTTAGTGAGTTTGATAGAGGCCGTATAGTGGGACTTCGGGAAGCTGGACTTTCTTTAGTTAGAGTGCAAAGAAGTGTAGACACTGTGGTTAGGTGTTGTCAGGCATGGCTTCGAGAAGGCCGTACGCAAAGAGCAAGGGGCACTGGACGCCGCCGTAGAACAACAGACCGTGAAGATCGCCGCATAAGATTATTGGCCTTTATCCACTACCAGGTCCATTGCAAATGAATGGTTTGCAGAACACGGAAGACCTATTGGCATGCGAAGTGTTTACCGACGAATGAGAAGTTTTGGCTTGTTTTCATACCGGCCACACTGGGTCCTCCCTTTAACTCGAGAACACCGACGTAATCGCCTTGAGTGGTGCAGACAACGGTCACTCTGGGATCAGGAATGGAACAGTATTGTCTTTAGTGACGAGTCTCGATTTTGTTTAGGCATGCACGATGGTCGTGCCAGGGTTAGAAGGTGACGTGGTGAAAGGAGGAATCCACAGTTTTTTGTTGAAAGATATGTTCATCACACTGTTGGAGTTATGGTTTGGGGTGCTATAGCTTATGGTTCCAGGTCACCTTTAATCTTCATCAGAGGTAACATGAACGCGCAGCGTTATATCCACGAAGTTCTAGAACCCCATCTTTTACCCTATCTTGACACCCTGGCAGATCCAACTTTCCAACAAGATAATGCCCGACCACATGTTGCAAGAGTCACCATAGACTTCTTTCAACATAATGATGTCACATTGTTACCATGGCCTCCAAGATCTCCCGACTTATCCCCAATTGAGCACGTGTGGGATATGATGGGTAGGAGATTGCTCAATTTGCAACGTCCTCCTCAGACTCTAGAAGCACTTCGAGAGGAGTTGGTGGTTGCCTGGAATGAGATACCACAGGAGGACATTGACCACCTGATCAGAAGCATGCCTAGGCGCGTTGGAGATTGCGTAGCACATCAGGGTGCATCCACACAATATTAAAGGTCAAAGGGCTTTAAAGCAGTGCAATCATTTTGAAATTTTTATCATTTACTTATTATGCTTCATTAAGTACTTATACAAAATTTTATTAAAATAAAACCATTTAAACTGGGTGTTCGGATTTATATGTCACTTAGTATATTTTTCTTGAGTTTGATTTATCAATAAATGTCATTAAGTCATGTTTTCTCATCCAAAATATTCTAACAGGTTTCTGTTGGAATTGTGTAGCTAAGTACCAAATACTTTTGGTAACAATGACCTGATGAGAACGCAGTTTCTATTCGGTTTGCGTTTCAGATGACAAAAGGGAAAAATAATAGAAGATCGATGTAAATACGTCAAGAGATGTCTTCATCTTACCTAGACGTATCCAACTTTCACTATAAGAATCATAGCCCAGTCAATGCGGTTCATGCTTGAATCTGAGTTTTCCGGGACTTAAATAGAATTTGGTAACAGTAGTTTTTTTTTTTGGGTCGCTGCAAGTTTTTGCGGTCATTGAATCCAGATCATAGATCAGTTTGTTGCTAGGAAGACTCCTGAAGGTCCTTTTAAGGCCACTCAATATTTCCTAATAACATTTATACCAAAGCCTTAAGACCGAGATAACAGCAATAACGTAGTTATCGACTTGATATTAATGTAAGAATCTTCAAGATCCTATTCATACTCCTCGAGTGTATTTGAGCTTAGGGTACGTCGCCATCGTCCTCGATATTTCCATCAGAGCGACGTCGATTTGTTTACCGTGTACAGGCCATCTGGGTGGACACAGTAGAAGACCCAGACAGAAGGTATGCTCAAGCTTAACTCGTTTGAGATATGTTCATCGAAAAGTTCTTGGTACAACCACTTCCTCGTTCCAAGAGTATAGAAAAGGTAGAACAATCTTGTTAGGGTCAGCAACATTTATCTATCTCATTCAAGTTGCGGTACCTGCCATATTTTCCGATCCTTCAGTATAAAAGCTTAACATCTACCGTTTATTTCTTGGATCGTACCGTTACTTAAACGTCACATCTATCGTTTTTAGCGATACTGATCTCTGCTTACAAGTGCCGAATATCAGTTTAGTCTTGTTTTCATTATAAGTTTATCTAATCCTATTTATTATCAGTAGTTTGAAGCTAAGCTGACTGTACTAACTGATTTCAATTGATAATTCAGCATTTTAAATGATGTTTATGGACGTATTACATACATGTGTTTGATGCATTATCATATATTTGATGAGGGGAAATTAATAATTGTCCAAAGATATGACAGATGGTGAAGGAGTGAAAAAACATACATAACAAATTCACTTTCTTATTATTTATTACTTATGTTTTCCTTTAACAAAACTGGCATCAAGCAGGTTGACTAAGAATATCTGGTGTTATATTAGGAAAATTGCTCAAAACCGTACCCTCATTCTATTATTGATTAAAAGATATAGGATGAAATGGCGTCAAGTAGATGGACTCTATAGTTCTTACGTCTTTGTTGGGGTGGGCTGAGCTAAATTGCTTCAAAAGGCTAAACCGAATCGTGAATCATTTAGATACGATTAATCTTCGACCTCTGCATAGGGGCCGTTCAAGTATTACGTGAGCACTATGGTCTTTGCTTTGCTTATTTTGGATGACGTGGGGGGTAGGGGAGTCTAGATGATGATTACGTCATCGGTAGTTATTTACTTTTTTACACGAATGGCAACCCTCACATTGTCCTTGCTTGAAAACGAAACGCATTTTCGGGGATTCCTGCAAATAATGCATACGTTTAGTGAACAGCGTGCGGTAATTCCCCTACTCGGTTCTAAAGCGAGTTTTTATTTTTAGGCAACCTGTAAACCTGCAGAAAAAACACAAATTATACAGTCAGCTACAAATATTAAAAAAGAGGAAGAAGATAAAATAAAACCCGGTAATGAATCACAACAGCAATGCGAAATTAATAAAAATACAGATAAACAGAGAGCAAAACCTTCTCAGGAAGCTAGGAAAAATAAGATTGCTCTACTCGAAAAAAATCTGAATGCTTTGTATTCTGCCAGAGATACTATGCCAAGCCTTGCTGAAGTTGATAAACAGATCATTAAGTTGCGCGAGGAAATAAAAACAGCAAAACAGTCTTTAAACAGAAGGTTCAAAACGCAGTTACCCAGAAGAAACACAGGGATGGTATGAAAAGAAAGTTAGAAGATATTTGTCATGAAAATCGAGAAATGAAAAAATTACTATCTCTGGGGGATTCAGTGGGACGCCCTAATCTTGAAAGCAATCAACATTCACTATTGAAAACAATCGCGGATATAGCTTTATTTGGGAGTGCAGCAGATGATAGAAGACGAACGGAATCAATTCGCAGCGTAAAATCTCTTGATGAACTCACACAAGAATTACGTAAAATAGGATTTGACATTAGTCGCAGTGGGACATATCTTCGTTTGATTCCCAGAAAATCTAATTCTGCAGAGGGACGAAGACATGTATCGACAGTCCCTGTTAAGCTCATTCGGGCTCAAACTGATCACCACGAGAGCCACTTAGATAGCAAGTTCGTTGAAACATCAATCCATTATTTAGAGAACATAGCATGCATACTTGGACCAGATCAAGTATTTTTCATATCTCAAGATGATAAAGCTCGAGTCCATATTGGCGTAACTGCGGCAAATAAGCAAGCACCTCTTCTAATGCACATGGAATATAGAATCAAATTGCCTGATCACGATTGGGTAATCGCTGAGCGTCATAAATTAATACCATCTGTTTATGCTGGTATCAAAATCACTTCCAATATGCTAGGACAACCGCAAGCCGATGGATATTCTGCACCAACATACATCGCTATTCGAAGTGGAAAGCATAGTTCATCTACTGCTAATACTCATGCTCAGGATTTCGAGACGCTTCTCGAACTTGAAGAGTTTCGACCATTAGCTAAAACTGACGATGGACTAGTAAAACCAGTGGTAATTATGACGGTTGATGAAGGGCCAGATTTAAGCGACATGATCTCGATGCATTGTTTTTAGCTACCAATGCTCCTGGAAGAAGTGCGTATAACAGAGTAGAGCGCAGAATGGCTCCTCTTAGTCGGGAACTGGCTGGTTTAATATTGCCTCATGACCATTTTGGGTCTCATTTGGATGAACGTGGCGTTACAATTGATGAAAATTTAGAAAGATCTAATTTCGAATTTGCAGGAAATGTATTAGCTGAAGTATGGAGTTCAATGGAAATTGATGGCTATAATGTTAATGCACAATATGTCGGGGCAGGTGAACAAGATCTTCCTGATTTTCCAGATAATAAGTGGTATTCAGAACATGTGCGTGAGAGCCAATACTTGATTCAAATTTTAAAATGCAGAAATACAGAATGCTGTCGTCCAAGAAGTGGCCTATTTAGATTACTAGACAATAGGTTTCTTCCACCACCTGTAAAAGTAAAACAAGCAGTTGATGACTTGGTTTTGGATGGAGGGCAATTTCTTAATCTTCCAGTCAATTTAGCTCTACGCTTAAGTGCTTCAGTCAAAGATTTCCTGCAAATGCCCTACGATTATTTTTGTCCGACGGAAACATTAAACGTGTGGTCTTTATCATGCTTCCGTCAAGTCACTAAATCGTCACATCGAAAATATCCATAAAAAAGTAAACACGCACACTGATAGGAAAGTCAGACCTGTAAGAGTCGCTGCTCGTCGTGCTAATGAACTGATGTGCATTTTTCAAAATTTAGAGCACCATGATGTTGAATGGCTCGATGAGAACGACGTAGACATTCCAAAATCCGATGAAAGCGAGCAAACTCACAACACTGAGCAGCAATCGAAGTAATCCAATGTCATCGAAAACTTAGAATCATGGATTCGGGTTTCATGGACTGAAGACTGTTAAGTTGAATTTAATATATTTACCAAAAATTTAAATTAAGTTTGTTGTGTGTATAATATTAACAAAAACAATACATTAATTGACAAATGTTTACGTAAGCATGGGGGGAGGGGGTAAGAGCTTTGCTTACTTTTGCTGACAAGGGGGATGGGGGGTAAATAATTGTAATAAATCTGCTTACGTAATACTTGAACGGTCCCATAGCAAGTTATATAAAACAAATCTATCATATTTCTGTTTCCATGGCAGATATAGGTACATAGTATCACTGAGATCAGCAGCCTTTTAATAAAACTAGGTCTTTCACTGACGCTGAATATGCAACAATTCACAAGCAGTTTCCACATACAATCTACAATTTTCACCCCTCCAAATAATGCAGGAATCTCTTTAACATTGTAACACTGTATTAGTGTATGTACAGGGTGTTCATTTTGAACACTTATCGAAATGAAAAGTGATATTTTCGTGTGTTTCTGTTTTCTATCTGAACAAATTAAGATAAATAAGGATTTTTCGAATTTTCCCGATAACGAATCGACTGATTTAAAAAAATTAAACGTCGAAACAAAGGACTTCAAAAGAAAACAAGCTATTTCTCGATACCCCTTGTCAGTGTCTCTGCGTTTTTTCTTTTAATCAGCGGTTTTCAATAAATCCGGGTTGGAAGGTTTTAAATAAACACCCTGTATGTAATATAGTATTATCTATGTTATCTATGTTCCAAGTACATCAGGAATAATGTAGTGGTCATACCTAACAGTTCTTAATGTGCAATTATGAACAGAACTAAACTGAGAAGCCGAAACTTGGCGAATTTGTCTAACGAGCCTATAACCCTTATTATTAATATGATGTAAAGCTCAGATGTTTTCATCTTGTGAACACCTTCGGGTCTTCCAATCTCGAAACTCAAGATGAAAAATGCGTGGCACGTTGTCGTAAACAAACCTTCTTTTTTGCTCGTCAATGAAGCGCGCAAAATCTCTTGGCTTAACTAAATCTGCCAGTAAAACGATTACATAATTAAGTGATCTCTTTTGAGGCTGTATACGGTCGAAGCTTAACTTCTCCACCCACACCAAAAACGTATATCCCACGCCAATTATTGAATAAATTACAAGTTCTAAATTGAGTTTTTTGTTTCAGCTTTGATGAAACTCTCTCGACCTGTGAAGGTAGCCGCTGCAGACAGTCGCGTTAGAGCAGTCTGCTTGCCCTCAAAAAGACTGACTCACAACCAAACCGAGGTAAGGTAATGCTGAAATAATTTTATCACGTATGGTCTCACTGCTTTTACTTCACACGTCTACTAGCGGGGAAATATTGCAATCGCCAAAATTTTCAATAGTATGATGATATGTTTTTTGCTATTATGCCAAGGATGCAAAAGCAATGAAGATTTTGAAAATAGGTCCAGTGGCGGCGGGAGAAAGGCCTAAAACAAAAAAAAAAATAAAAAATGCCGAAACTTCGTTTTTTGATGTTGACGATCCCGACCATTTTCGAGAAAAAAAATTGTAGGAGTTAAAAATTGGGAGTTACGCCTAAAAATTTTTCTCAGGGGGAGAGGAATGTCATTTAATTTTAATAATCCTTTACAAAATGATAGCACGTGGGAAGTACTGAGTCAACTTACTTGACTGAGAAAACTCAGAAAAATTGCGGAATATATGTGTCACAAGCAGATATGGGTTATGGGGGAAAAGCTGAATTGGTTCCTATCCAATGTTCATTACTTTCTTAGATTCTTGATTTTGAAACATACTTTTCAAATGGTTTTGGAAATAATTTTTTTTATAATCATTTTCAACTAGATTTCATGAAGATAAAAGTAAATGATGTATAACATGACCAAGTGAACGTTGTACGCTCTTAAAACATAGCTTTAGCTATTTTTTATATTTTTTCAATCAATTAGAAAATGGAGCGACGATTTTCGGCGCTTTCTTCTATCATCCAATCATTTTCAAAATTTTTATTCCAAATGTCCTGCATCAATATTAGTTTCGTCTATATTTGGAAAGTGATTCTCCATATCTAATTTTAATTTTAATTGTCACTAATTTCATATACGCAAGCAGAATTGGTTTCTATCCAATGTTCATTACTTTCTTTAGATTCTTGATTTCGATACATATTTTCAAATCATTTTGGAAATAACTTTTTTATAATCAGTTTCAACTAGATTTCATGAAGGTGAAAGTAAATAATGTTTAACATGATGAAGTAAATATTGTATGCTTTTAAAACATAGTTTTAGCTACTTTTCATATGTTTTCAATCAATTAGAAAATGGAGCAAGGATTTTCGACACGCTCTTCTACCATCCAATCATTTTAAAATTTCCTATTTTAAATAACCTGATAGTTTCGTCTATATTTGGAAAGTGATCCTCCATAGCTGATTTTAATTTTAATTGTCACAGATTTCACATACCGCGATTAAAATAATTATGTATGAAGTATCATAATAATAAATTGAATAAATGCAAATCAGTATCAACAATACTACCCACACAATGTCGCTATCCCACAAAGTAATTATAGTGATACCATTAAATCGTTAGAAACTTACGGATTGGTTTAAATAAATATATGCAAAATGTGTTGCAATTATATCGTTCGGTTAGAGTCGAAAGTGTAAATACGATTTACGATAATATTGTGGGAATCATAATTATCGATTTAGCGATATCTGTTTTTGTTTTGTTGTGTTGTCTATCAGGATATGAAGTTTTGTGCTTACCGGATTTAATACGCAAAATTGAACAAAATTAAGGATAGTGTGAGAGCATTCATTAGATAATGTTGCATGAAAAATTAAGTGCAAAATTCTTTAGAACCTGTTCATAATTTGCGCAGGGGCAATCATTTGGAAACCGCGTTTGAGTTACGGAAGAAAACGAAAAAAAAAAAAAGATCGCTCAAACTTTTTTGACGTTTCACATAATCTTGATAATTTTTGAAAAAAATTTGTGGTGAAAATGGAATAAGGGATAGGTGTATCTCAATTTTCCTTATATTAGTATATTTATAAAACAAAGAAAGATAGAAAAATGCTTTCAATGTGCGTCTCTTTCTGCTATCTGGGCTCAGCGCTCAGCGTAACCATCTGCTTGCTTGATTGTTTTGCTCGATATTTCAGAAGATTAGCGATGGATCAAGAGATCTCCCAGTCGCCCTCTATGAAAAAAAGGTTCCTGAAAAAAATCTTAACTTCTTTACTAAAACTTGTACAATGAGCACACTGGTCGATTTTCAAGTTCCTTTGCAACCATCATTGAAACTCCTTTCCCCATTCTTCAATTTACTTCTGAATGTTTTTCTGATTCACCCCTGAATTTGAAGCCTCATAACCTGAGAGTTTAGCTTACCTACAACATAAGTGATCATTATAAATTGTACGTAGGCCTACATTTCCAGATCTGCATAGCAACGGGATGGGGAAGAGATGCAGAAGATGGACCTCTGGCAGGACGTCTGCTAGAAGCAAGAGTACCAGTCCATGACAACGCTGTATGCCGCAAGAAGTACGGACATTCTGTGCATATACGATCTGGGCATCTGTGCGCAGGACATCTCGACGGTTCCAGTGGGACCTGTGTGGTAAGCACTGCTTTAAAGCCCTTTGACCTTTAATAATGTGTGGATGCACCCTGATGTGCTACGCATTCTCCGACGCGCCTAGGCATGCTTCTGATCAGGTGGTCAATGTCCTCCTGTGGTATCTCATTCCAGGCAACCACCAACTCCTCTCGAAGTGCTTCTAGAGTCTGAGGAGGACGTTGCAAATTGAGCAATCTCCTACCCATCATATCCCACACGTGCTCAGTTGGGGATAAGTCGGGAGATCTTGGTGGCCATGGTAACAATGTGACATCATTATGTTGAAAGAAGTCTGTTGTGACTCTTGCAACATGTGGTCGGGCATTATCTTGTTGGAAAGTTGGATCTGCCAGGGTGTCAAGATAGGGTAAAAGATGGGGTTCTAGAACTTCGTGGATATAACGCTGCGCGTTCATGTTACCTCTGATGAAGATTAAAGGTGACCTGAACCATAAGCTATAGCACCCCAAACCATAACTCCAACAGTGTGATGAACATGTCTTTCAACAAAAAACTGTGGATTCCTCCTTTCACCACGTCGCCTTCTAACCCTGGCACGACCATCGTGCATGCCTAAACAAAATTGAGACTCGTCACTAAAGACAATACTGTTCCATTCCTGATCCCAGAGTGACCGTTGTCTGCACCACTCAAGGCGATTACGTCGGTGTTCTCGAGTTAAAAGGAGGACCCAGTGTGGCCGGTATGAAAACAAGCCAAAACTTCTCATTCGTCGGTAAACACTTCGCATGCCAATAGATCTTTGCAATGGACCTGGTAGTGGAGAAACGGTCCCTTAAGGCCAATAATCTTAGGCGGTGATCTTCACGGTCTGTTGTTCTACGGCGGCGTCCAGTGCCCCTTGCTCTTTGCGCACGGCCTTCTCGAAGCCATGGCTGACAACACCTAACCACAGTGTCTACACTTCTTTGCACTCTAACTGCAATTGCCCGAAAACAAAGTCCAGCTTCCCGAAGTCCCACTATACGGCCCCTATCAAACACACTAAGTTGACGAAATCGTACAGGTCTCCGTACTCTAGGCATCGTAACCGATCGTAAAGGATGTCAAGAACCAAAATCCGCCAACGTTGATTCTTTACTGCGGCTGAAATATTCATTTGTAGAGCGTTGGTGAATTAAAAAAAAGCAGTATAAAAACCGGAATGTCCAACTGATAAGGCTGAAAATTTTTTCACTTGTTATTTATAGTAAGATAAATAAATTCACCAACTTTTATTAAAATAAAACCATTCAAACTGGGTGTTCAGATTTATATGTCACTTAGTATATTTTGTGATATTTGGAAACTCCTCAATTGAAATAAGACATCAAAGAGTGCCCTCTATAACCAGATTCGAACACTGCGAGACTAAAAACAGCAATATCAGCCGAGTCACCATGATGCCCGCTGGATGCTGCTGATTCTGGTGGTATACGAGATAATTTCGTCAAAATGAATTCCCTGATGAGGAAAAAACTGCTGCGTTCGCGGTTGTAGCTATTCTCAGACCATTTCCTCATTTCCTTTGCTTTTTTAGTTGTGTTGCCGATTTTTTATTTTCCAGGGTGATTCTGGTGGCCCCTTGCAGTGCGCTCTAGGCGATGGTCGATGGATCTTGGCTGGCATAACTTCATTTGGATCAGGATGTGCTAAGCCCGGCTTCCCTGATGTCTACACCAGACTGTCATACTATCTACCGTGGATCAAAGCGAAAATGATCAGGAACTGATTGCTGCTCTTCCTCTATCATATCAAGTCATCTCTCAAAAACGCAAAGCATTATTCCTACATACAGTGTCAAGGTTCTTGGATCAACCAGATTGAAATTTCGATTCTTATGATACATTTTAAGCTAATCAATAGAGCAAAAATCGCCTACTATTTAACCTAGCTACCTTCAAGAAAATCTGTTGAACGCCCTGTATTTCAAATAAGGACCATAGACCTACAGTAACTTGAAAAGCCATACAGTGTTACCGTAAAGTAGAAAATAAAATTCAAACAGTACCTTATGCATTTTCTGAGACGCATCAAAACTGGTTCATAATTTTTTGTAAATGTTAATTCTTATAGAATTTCACTCTTATTTATTATCTTTCCTTATATAGTATTATATACTAGAAATATTGTTTTTATGAATATTTGTATTATATTTGTTTTTATTATTGTATATGTATATCTGTTACGTAATATATGCAATATTGTAGCAAGACTTGTACTTTGTTTAGCTGTAAATTGTGTGTCGAATTTTTGTGTTGCTCCTTCATACAGTGGATTTCGAAACTAGATGCATAACATAAAAATAACAATAAGGAATCTCAAGTTGACGAATGGGTGCCATCTTGGAACCTCCTTTTTTAAACAAACAACCCCTCGTCCCATTCAAAATAATTATCGACGATGACGGCTAGCCGCCAACTTGAAATTTAAGTTTAAATAAATTTAAAAAATTAAGAAGCACTGTAACTCTAGGTTCACATTGAGAAAATTAGGTAAATCCCTTGAAGTAGCATTATTCCTTTCAGGGGTCTGCATTTGTAAATCGTAGGAAAGAAAGCTTTCGTAGCTAAGGTCTTTGGTCTACAGAATTCGTTTTTGAATACTGTAACGTGTAGGAAAGTGTTATCAATAATGTATAAATACACGAGCCTAAAATATTTATCTGATTACTCTCACAATATGTGTATGTTAAATTATTGATTAATTACAAAACCTACGAACGAGGTAATCGTGACCAAAAGAATGCAAAAACATGTTTGATAATGGCGGCGGGGTCCAGGGTGACAGTTTCCCAAACCCCTCGCACGAGTTGAACATTTTGTGGCGGCCACATTGGTAGCAAGAGAACTTAGTGAAGCTCTGGGTGTGGAGCCAAAGTTCAAAGAAGACAGATTTTCTCAGTAGCATATACACAGATGTTTTAAGAGAAGCGAGATATTTTGCTCCGAAAATCTCAATCAAACCTGAACCAAACCGAAGCCGGTCCTGTCCTATCCCTCGATCACGCCCACAGCGTTGCCAACTTAGCAGAATTTCCGCTAGATTTAGCAGATTTTGTTCCATGTTCAGCGGACAAAATTTGCAATTGCGGATCGCGGATTTTTTAACGGAATAAGCAATTTTGTTTAACGGAAATTAGATTATTAAACTGATAATTAAAACAATTTGAACAGGAAATATTTTTCATACGTAAATGTAGTTTATGCACATAGTAATTATTAGTTACTTATATATTCATGGTGCCCTGGACCGCTTAATATTTTTGGCAACAATACCATAAGAAGTTATGTGACAACGAGCCAAGGAATTGGGGAATTACCCACATGCGGTTGTGTGTAAAAGGCTATCTCAGGTACAAGTGTCAGCATTTTGTGTCAAGTTTTCAATTGTCCCAAACTACTTTTACTGTTTTTACTTTTGATTCTATTTGCTGTAAAGTTTTATTTGATAATATAATATTTTTTAGCAATAAATGGTATTTCTTTTGCAAATAATTTTTTTAGCGGATTCACATCGGATCAAGCGGATTTTGAGCACTTATTTGGCGGAAACTATCTTAAAGAGTTGGCAATGCTACGATGTAGATACGGACTTTACGACAGAGCCGTACTTGGAATTTCAATTCAACTGAACAGTGAGTACTTTTTCATTTATTATTTTACTTGTTTGCTCACGTTTCACCACACATTAGCTTTGTGATATCAAGCGTAGTTGTGTCTGGAAAGGAAAACCCCAACTGTATAGATCCGGCCTCCCTCGATTGCGGGCCCGAAATGGGATGCAATAAAAACGAGTATAATTTAATAAAGCTAAAAAAAAAAACGAATTTCAAAAAACAATTCTCCAGCTTACATTACTCTCACATATGTACAAGAACATACAACTAAAATTTGTTTTAGTCTCTTTATCACACATTTTCAACGTACCTATAAAATTGCACTATGAATTTTTAGAAATTCTAACGTCCGGTTTGAAATACTGCGAAGCGACAGTAACCTAGGCACCATGGTCTTATTGAAGAACAGAGTGAGCAAAGCCGCTCCGGATACTATCGCGAAACTAATGATACCCAAGTGGTAGACGAGGATCGTCTAACCCACTGGAAGGATCACTAAAACCAGCCTCAGGAGCAATATGCTATCATGCCAGGCAGCTAGTCGAAGCTCAGCTCTATCCAGAACAGTGGTACCGCCATGTTGTTGAACTGTCTCGTCTTCCAGTTTTATCTGGTTCGGCCCATTCCGAGATTGATCTGATCCTTCAAGGCGGAACCCGCTAGAGGCACTCCTAGATCTGGTTGCATCCTGTACAAGCTTACATTTTACTGAGCTGAACAAAGCTGTGGGACTACATTAGAAATACCACCTTCTTGAATCTAAAAGTGAAATTTGTGGTAGATGTTTAGAAAATAAGCAGATTTTCTTAGTAGTATATACACCAATGTTTTAAGAGAACCGAGATATTGGGCTCCACATACTCAATCAAATCTGAACCAAACCGAAGCCGGTCCTGTCCTATCCCTCGACCACGCCCACAGCGCCAGCGTCAGCGTCAACGTTGCCAACTTAGCGGAATTTTCGCTAGACTTAGCGGATTTTGTTCCATATTTAGAGGACAAAATTTGCAATTGCGGATAGCGGATTTTTTAACGGAGTAAGCAATTTTGTTTAACGGAGTTTAGCTTTTGCAATTAAGTTTTTTAGCGGATTCACATCTGATCTAGCGGATTTTGAGCACTTATTTGGCGGAAACTATTTTAAAGAGTTGGCAACGCTGGTCAGCGTACAGTTTACGACGTACGTCTGCGATGTAAAAACGGATTTTACGACAGAGCCGTACTTGGAATTTCAATTCAACTGAACAGTGAGTACTTTTTCATTTATTTTTTTTTACTTGTCCTCTCACGTTTCACCACAAATTAGCTTCGTGATATCAAGCGTAATTGTGTCTGGAAAGGAAAACCCCTGCTGTATAGATCCGCCTTCCTTTGATTGCGGGCACGAAATGGGATGCAATAAAAACAACGAGTTGTAATAAGTATAATTTAATAAAGGTAAAAAAGAACCATATTTCAAACAACAATTCTCCATCTTACATTACTCTCACTAGGTTAACTCACATATGTACAGGAACTTACAACTAAAATTTGTTTCAGTCTCTTTATCACACATTTAAAACCTACCTATAAAATTTCACTAAGACGATTTAGAAATTCTAACGTCCGGCTTGAAATACTGCGAAGCGACAATCACGGCAGGAAGAGCGGTATACTCCGATGCGATACTCAGTGACCTCGGCACCATGGTCTTATTGAAGAACAGAGTGAGCAAAGCCGCTCCGGACACCATCGCAAAACCAATGATGTCCAAGAGGTAGATGAGGATCGTCTGACCCACAGGAAGGACCACCCAGACCAGCCTTAGGAGGAACGCTACCATGCCAGGTAGCTCGTTGGAGCTCAGCCTATCCAGAACAGTGGTACCGTCATGTTGTTCAACTGTCTTGTCTTTGAGTTGTATCTGGCTTGGCCCATTTCGAGATTGACCTGAACCTTCAAGGCGGAACCGGCTAGAGGCACTTCTTCATTTTACTGAGCTGAACAAGGCTGTGAGACTACATAAGAAACATCACCTTCTTGAATCTAAAGGTGAAATTTGTGTAGATCTAGAGAGAGTAAGAGGATTTTCTCAGTAGCATATACACTAATTTCTTACGAGAACCGAGATATTCTGCTCCCCAAACTCAATCAAACCAGAACCAAACCGAAGCCGGTCCTGTCCTATCCCTCGATCACGCCGACAGCGTAGCCAACTTAGCAGAATTTCCGCTAGATTTATCGGATTTTGTTCCATGTTCAGCGGACAAAATTTGCAATTGCGGATCGCGGATTTTTTAACGGAATAAGCAATTTCGTTTAACGGAAATTAGATTATTAAACTGATAATAAAAACAATTTGAACAGGAAATATGTTTCATACGTAAATGTAGCTTATGCACATAGTAATTATTAGTTACTTATATATTCATGGTGCCCTGGACCTCTTAATATTTTTGGCAACAATACTATAAGAAGTTATATGGCAACGAGCCGAGGAATCGGGGAATTACCCACATGCGGTTGTGCCCGTCTATTTTCTAGCTGTGTGCTTTATTTTATAACTGGTAAAAAGCTATCTCAGCATCTCAGGTACAAGTGTGAGCATTTTGTGTCAAGTTTTCAATTGTCCCAAACTACTTTTTCTGTTTTTACTTTTGATTATATTTGCTGTAAATTTTTATTTGATAATATATTTTTAGCAATAAATGGTATTTCTTTTGCAAATAATTTTTTTAGCGGATTCACATCGGATATAGCGGAATTTGAGCACTTATTTGGCGGAAACTATTTTAAAGAGTTGGCAACGCTGGTGAGCGTCCAGTTTACGACGTACGTCTACGGATACGGATTTTACGACAGAGCCGTACTTGGAATTTCAATTCAACTGAACAGTGAGTACTTTTTCATTTATTTTTTTTACTTATCCTCTCACGTTTCACCACACATAAGCTTTTTTATATGAAGCGTAGTTGTATCTGGGAAGGAAAACCCAAACTGTACAGATCCGCCTTCCTTTGATTGCAGGCACGAAATGGGATGCAATAAAAACAACGAGTTGTAATAAGTATAATTTAATAAAGGTGAAAAAGAACCATATTTCAAACAACAATTCTCCATCTTACATTCCTCTCAGTAGGTTAAGTCACATATATACAGGAACTTACAACTAAAATTTGTTTCAGTCTCTTTATCACACATTTAAAACCTACCTATAAAATTTCACTAAGAGGATTTAGAAATTCTAACATCCGACTTGAAATACTGCGAAGCGACAATCACGACAGGAAGCGCGATATACTCCGATGCGATACTGAGTGACCTCGGCACCATGATCTTATTGAAGAACAGAGTGAGCAAAGCCGCTCCGGATACCATCGCAAAACCAATGATGCCCAAGAGGTAGATGAGGATCGTCTGACCCACAGGGAGGACCACCAAGACCAGCCTTAGCAGAAATGATATCGTGCCAGGCAGCTCGTCGAAGCTCAGCCTATCCAGAACAGTGGTACCGTCATGTTGTTCAACTGTCTTGTCTTTGAGTTGTATCTGGCTTGGCCCATTTCAAGATTGACCTGAACCTTCAAGGCGGAACCGGCTAGAGGCACTTCTAGATCTGGTTGTATCCTGTACACGCTCACATTTTACTGAGCTGTACAAGGCTGTGGGACTACATAAGAAACATCACCTTCTTGAATCTAAAGGTGAAATTTGTGTAGATCTAGAGAGAATAAGAGGATTTTCTCAGTAGCATATACACCAATGTCTTAAGAGAACCGAGATATTCTGCTCCGCAAACTCAATCAAACCAGAACCAAACCGAAGCCGGTCCTGTCCTATCCCTCGATCACGCCGACAGCGTTGCCAACTTAGCAGAATTTCCGCTAGATTTAGCGGATTTTGTTCCATGTTCAGCGGACAAAATTTGCAATTGCGGATCGCGGATTTTTTAACGGAATAAGCAATTTTGTTTAACGGAAATTAGATTATTAAACTGATAATAAAAACAATTTGAACAGGAAATATTTTTCATACGTAAATGTAGTTTATGCACATAGTAATTATTAGTTACTCATATATTCATGGTGCCCTGGACCGCTTAATATTTTTGGCAAAATACCATAAGAAGTTATGTGGCAACGAGCCGAGGAATCGGGGAATTACCCACATGCGGTTGTGCCCGTCTATTTTCTAGCTGTGTGCTTAATTTTATAACTGGTAAAAGGCTATCTCAGCATCGCAGGTATAAGGGTGAGCATTTTGTGTCAAGTTTTCAATTGTCCCAAACTACTTTTACTACTTATTTACTTTTGACTAGATTTGATGTAAATTTTTATTTTATAATATAATATTTTTTACCAATAAGTGGTATTTCTTTTGCAAATAATTTTTGTAGCGGATTTACGTCGGATATAGCGCATTTTGAGCACTTGCTTTGGGAAGAGTTGGCAACGCTGGTCAGCGTACAGTTTACGACGTACGTCTACGATGTAAATACGGATTTTACGACAGAGCCGTACTTGGAATTTCAATTCAACTGAACAGTGAGTACTTTTTCATTTATTTTTTTTTTACTTGTCCTCTCACGTTTCACCACACATTAGCTTCGTGATATCAAGCGTAACTGTGTCTGGAAAGGAAAACCCCTACTGTATAGATCCGCCTTCCTTTGATTGCAGGCACGAAATGGGATGCAATAAAAACAACGAGTTGTAATAAGTATAATTTAATAAAGGTAAAAAAGAACCATATTTCAAACAACAATTCTCCATCTTACATTACTCTCACTAGGTTAAGTCACATATGTACAAGAACTTACAACTAAAATTTGTTTCAGTCTCTTTATCACACATTTAAAACCTACCTATAAAATTTCACTAAGACGATTTAGAAATTCTAACGTCCGGCTTGAAATACTGCGAAGCAACAATCACGGCAGGAAGCGCTGTATACTCCGATGCGATACTCAGTGACCTCGGAACCATGGTCTTATTGAAGAACAGAGTGAGCAAAGCCGCTCCGGATACCATCGCAAAACCAATGATGCCCAAGAGGTAGATCAGGATAGTCTGACCCACAGGGAGGACCACCAAGACCAGCCTTAGCAGAAATGATATCATGCCAGGCAGCTCGTCGAAGCTCAGCTCTATCCAGAACAGTGGTACCGTCATGTTGTTGAACTGTCTCGTCTTCGAGTTGTATCTGGTTTGGCCCATTCCGAGATTGACCTGAACCCTCAAGGCGGAGCCCGCTAGAGGCACTCCTAAGTCTGGTTGTATCCTGTACAAGCTAGCGTGAATCTTCTCGTCAGGGTTCATCCCGTTCACAGAGTTCCGTATCTCTGGGTCCACGTTGAGAAAGTGAGGCTCAGATAGTATGATAGGCATATCATAGTAGCACGGAGCGATGGTTTGCAGCCCTTTGCCGGGACAGGTACCCTTGAAGCAGTAGCATTCATTGTAAGGGTTCTCCTCGGGGGTACCAAAGACGTTTTTCTTCATCTTGAAATCGTACGAAACGAACCCTTCGTGACTGAGGCTGTCTCCGACGAAGTGGAACGGTACCGGTCTGCAGAAGGCCTTCCTGAATACCGTGATGGTGCGATTCCTCCTCATTTTCCTGGGAAAGATAGTACCGTCGAAAGCACCTTCGATCAGCTCGCACTTTTTGTTGGTCTGCATGGTTTCGTTGTTGAAACCCCATTCTTTCAAGCCCGGAGAGCCGTTCCATCGGACTATGTGGTAGGGAGCTGTTATTTCTTCCTGGGTGAGGAGGTTGTCATATTTGGACGTGGCCTTCGTTGGATCCACGCTTACTGTGATACGATTGACGTTGTCTCGACTCATCAACTGCAACAAAAAGAGACAAAATCAGTACAGCTCGTCAAGTTTAGGAAGAGATGCGAATTTTTGAATAATGTCACTTAGACGCACAACAAGAAGCTAACAAGTTTTTCAAAATTATTAACAAGTTGGGTTCAAATATACTCTGAATATTTGCGTCCATATTTATTTAATTTATTTATTTGATTGTTGTTTATTGTTTTGTTTATCGATGTTACAGGCTGACGTCTAAGGAATATTTAATTATACAGGGTGCTCGAAAAATAGACGTTATTTTAGAGGGTAATACTTTGTTAAAAAATATGAAAAAAGTTTCATTATCGAAATGTTAATACATGGGTCGGGAATTGGAGAGTTTACAAGATACAGGGTGATCAATTAAAAAAATGTTTTTAAAGAAAGTTACGTGAATAATTCTTTTCGAAAAGAACTGACGCGCAAATGCCAAACCTATAGAAATGATTTTTTGTTTTCTAAGGCACTTGTGATTTTTTTAGCAAAATTAATAAACCAATCATGTCCAGTGACATGCAACAAAAAGGGTTTTATTTTTTTTTTCTCGAAAACGAATTGAGATACGAAAAAAGTACATGAGGCAAAATAAGTTGTATTTTTTGATGCTTAATCATACAACATATAGTAAAGTTACAAAAAATGCAGCGGTGTACATTTTTTTTGACAATAATATTGCACTGGCCCTAATATACTAAGTGACATATAAATCCGAATACCCAGTTTAATGGTTTTATTTTAATAAAAGTTGGTGAATGTATTTATCTTACTGTAAATAACAAGTGAAAAAATTGTCAGCCTTATCAGTTGGACATTCCGGTTTTTATACTGCTTTTTTTTAATTCACTAACGCTCTAAAAATGAATATTTCAGCCGCAGTAAAGAATCAACGTTGGCGGATTTTGGTTCTTGACATCCTTTACGATCGGTTACGATGCCTAGAGTACGGAGACCTGTACGATTTCGTCAACTTAGTGAGTTTGATAGGGGCTGTATAGTGGGACTTCGGGAAGCTGGACCTTCTTTTCGGGCAATTGCAGTTAGAGTGCAAAGAAGTGTAGACACTGTGGTTAGGTGTTGTCAGGCATAGCTTCGAGAAGGCCGTACGCAAAGATCAAGGGGCACTGGACGCCGCCGTAGAACAACAGACCGTGAAGATCGCCGCCTAAGATTATTGGCCTTAAGGGACCGTTTCTCCACTACCAGGTCCATTGCAAATGAATGGTTTGCAGAACACGGAAGACCTATTGGCATGCAAGTGTTTACCGACGAATGAGAAGTTTTGGCTTGTTTTCATACCGGCCACACTGGGTCCTCCCTTTAACTCGAGAACACCGACGTAGTCGCCTTGAGTGGTGCAGACAACGGTCACTCTGGGATCAGGAATGGAACAGTATTATCTTTAGTGACGAGTCTCGATTTTGTTTAGGCATGCACGATGGTCGTGCCAGGGTTAGAAGGCGACGTGGTGAAAGGAGGAATCCACAGTTTTTGGTTGAAAGACATGTTGATCACACTGTTGGAGTTATGGTTTGGGGTGCTATAGCTTATGGTTCCAGGTCACCTTTAATCTTCATCAGAGGTAACATGAACGCGCAGCGTTATATCCACGAAGTTCTAGGACCCCATCTTTTACCCTATCTTGACACCCTGGCAGATCCAACTTTCCAACAAGATAATGCCCGACCACATGTTGCAAGAGTCACAATAGACTTCTTTCAACATAATGATGTCACATTGTTACCATGGCCACCAAGATCTCCCGACTTATTCCCAATTGAGCACGTGTGGAATATGATGGGTAGGAGATTGCTCAATTTGCAACGTCCTCCTCAGACTCTAGAAGCACTTCGAGAGGAGTTGGTGGTTGCTTGGAATGAGATACCACAGGAGGACATTGACCACCTGATCAGAAGCATGCCTAGGCGCGTTGGAGAATGCGTAGCACATCAGGGTGCATCCACACATTATTAAAGGTCAAAGGGCTTTAAAGCAGTGCAATCATTTTGAAATTTTTATCATTTACTTATTATGCTTCATTAAGTACTTATACAAAATTTTATTAAAATAAAACCATTTAAACTGGGTGTTCGGATTTATATGTCACTTAGTATACTTTAAATCTATTTAGAGCGGAATCAAGTAAATATTTTTTAAGATATTGATGAAATTTTTTGCTATGTCAAACTCGGTCTTGACATGCATCACTATCACCGTGGGCTTCGCATGTCTCGTTGGTAAATCGAGCTGTTTGTTTATAAATTGGATTCGAAGAAATTCCTAGGGCAATAAAAAATGTGTATTGTATTTAGTTTGATGTTAGTGTCTCGTAAATGTCTTCAAATCGTTCTTCAGGACGTCTCGCGCAAAGATTACCTTATACGAGTATCGTACAAAAATCATTTTAAAAAACGTCGAGGCCTATTGTAGAACACCTGGACAGCTTTTAATGTTGCAAATTGAGGAAGAAGGAAACAAACTTGTGTTTCTGAAGAGAATAACAATTTTGAACAGTGTTTACAAGCAACACATGACAGGACGGTACTTGAGATTACATTTGTCAGATAAACAAACACTATTGTTTCTGGAAAGGAAAATCCAAACTTTCAGAATACGATGTAGAATTTTCAGGTTTGACTCTGTAGAAAGATTTTTTTAAGCTCACGACCTATAAAAAATAGCCTATATTTTGAAACCGAGGTGAAACAGAAATTCAAATAAAAAAAGAGAGTTTTCTATATTTTTCAGTATCTAACTTACCCGTTCAAGCAATCCAAATTTTCCGAAATCGATCCAATTAGGCAAGAATTGATTGGCCATTGTGACTAGCTTGTCCTCGTATCCCCACATAAACTCATCAACAGTTAGGTTCAATATTGAGTTGCTGCCAAGTGAAGCTGCTAATGCCGAGAAGCCCATGTTCGTGATGAAGCTTGAGTCTGTCAGGTAAGCTTGGATGCCCTGAAAATGAAATAGAACAGTCAACAAAACGGTTTAGTATGCTATAAGCTAGTATATAGTTGATTAAAGCTGCTATAACGTATAAGTCATTTTAGTTAGACAGAGACGGACTAGCCCTAATACAATAATGTTTTTTTAACAACGTGTCTGAAAAAATATATCTCTTGTCTGATGTCGATAAAATCAGCCATTTTTAGTTTTATGTATGGCGATGTTGGATCGATTATGGGCGAGTTCTGCAAATAAGCCGTTTATTTCTTGATCTGGCACGACACATCTCGTTAATAGCAGCAGCTGCTGGGAAAAAGCTAAGCTACTTGTTTGGGGTTGAGAAGCACTTTTCTCCAAATGACCTCACTTTGTAAAAGGTGCAGATAAGACCTGGAGCCCCAGGTATTGCTCACATGTATGGGGTGCTGCCGCCCCGACTACAATGTCCATGCTTCTGAGAGCACTGATCGATGACTCCTCGCTAACAGACAGTTCTACTAACCCTTGCCAGTTCAAAAATCGGATCAACAAAGTTACTTTAGGCTCCTCATAGCAGCTGCGGCGTCCTGGTATTTACGCTTCTGCCTGATGCACGGCTGCTTCGGTCTAAAAAATTCCTCAGCGACCCAAAAAACACCAAGATATCCCTTTTCAAGGTTTGGATCTTTGTTGAACTTTTCAGAGATCATATGCGTTGTGAATTAATAACCAATAATCATACGGGAATAATGTATTATACATGGTGTAAAACAATTAACAGATATGCTTTCCTTTGAGTATGTCGAGGGGAGCTTAAGTCTAAGCTTGGAACATCACCCTACAATATTTGGCATGCTCTCAGACATATGGTAGAATCAACAGATATATTTTACATACGAGTAATAATATATTTTTAAATTTTATTCAGACAAAGGGTCCGCTAACTAATACTAATAAGAATATACTGATCAACCACCACAGTATGTACTTGTTATTTAGCACAGCAAATGAAGAATTACGTAACTTGAATACAAATAAGACACTGATTATTTTTTTACATATTCATGTTAAATGTCTTCATTTGACAGTGGAAAAATTTGACACAAATGATTTAAGCTAAGTCGCTGTGATATTTGCAAAGATAAGTATGTACAGTTTATGGAACTTGAAGTGTTAGTTTATAATTCTGAACTAGGAAAAACTATTTTTTTTGTAAATCGTGGGGAATGAGAAAATCTAAGTTCGGTAGAAAACATTTTTTTCATTTACGTGAGTCAACATTTTCTTTTGCTAAATGCTTAAAAGCTGTCAAGTCGGAAGCATTTTTGAGTCAAGTGTCAAAATCTCCTAAAGCCTTAATTCTTACTTAGTGGAGCCGTTCTTTGATCTTTCTGAAATACTTGTAGGATGCATTTAAAACATTAAAATGTGCATTTTATCGAAATAATATCACATGTTCAGATTCTAGATTCGTCAACTTATATGCATGTATAGGGATGGACACCGAGTAGCTATTACAATTTGTTCCAGCGAGGATAGCCCAGTCACCAGTGTGACCGCTAGAGGCTGATGATTCTGGCGGTATAGTAGATGTGGTCTACTCGCCACCTTAACAGTTCCATACCTTGGATAGAGGGTAGTGCTCTGCTTTAGTTTGTCGTCACACAGACTAAGCCTGCACTATGCTGATGAGTTGACAAAAAACACGAAACAGCTGTTTAATGACTACAATACAATACAATAGGATCAGCGTCCCAATTCAACGTCGTTCAACAAAATGTAGTATCATTTTGGTCACATTAACAGACTGATATATGGTTGTCGGAAAAGTCATGACGTATATGCAACAAAGTATGCAATTGCATGGTTGGAAGTACGTGAGTCAATGACATTTGTATGTTGATTGTGTAGTTTGACAGTTGACACTTCAAGCTTCATTTGCACCAAAAAATTAAGTGATTTATTTGAGTCTCGTCGATTTTAGAGGACGTTGAAGATGGACGACCAAACTGTGCATTTTCGTCACATTTTGCTGTATTACTTCCGCAAAGGCAAGAACGCAAGACAAGTGTGTGAAAAGTTGAGAAAGGTTTATGGAAAACATGCACTACAAGAACGGCAATGCCAGAGATGGTTTAAAAAATTCCGAGATGGGGATTTTGATATCCATGACGCACCTCGATCAGGGCGGCCTACTGAGTTGGATAGTGACGAATTAAAGGCATTGGTAGGAGCAAACCCACATTACACCACACGGGAAATTGCAGAAACCTTAAAAATCCATCATTCAACCGTTCACGACCATTTGAAGAAACTGGGATACGTAAGCAAACTCGATCGTTGGGTACCACACGAACTGAGAGAGGTTCATTTGACGGCGCGTGTAGACATCTGCGATATGCTCCTTAAACGTGAGGAAAACGATCCTTTCTTAAAGCGCTTGATAACGGGAGATGAAAAGTGGATTGTTTACAACAATGTGGTTCGCAAACGGTCTTGGTCCCGAAGTGTAGATACGCGTAACACGATCGCGAAAGCAGAGAGTCATCAGGAAAAGGTGATGCTCTCTGTTTGGTGGGATTTTAAAGGGATCGTGTTTCTCGAACTCCTGCCAAAGAACCAAACCATCGATACAACTGTGTATTGTCGGAAATTGGACAGTTTGCAACAATCCATCATGCAAAAACGTCCGGAGCTCATTAATCGCAAAGGAGTTCTGTTCCACCATGACAACGCGAGACCGCACACAAGTTTGCTCACTAGTCAAAAGTTATTGGAGTTAGGATGGGATGTGTTACCACATCCAGCATACTCGCCTGATCTTGCCCCATCTGATTTTCATTTGTTTCGGTCGCTTCAAAATTCCTTGCGAGAAATACGCTTTACTTCAGATGAAGCTGTACATCAGCACCTTGTTCAATTTTTTGCCGGTAAAGACAAATCCTTCTACGAGCGAGGAATTATGAAGCTGCCTGAAAGATGGCGAAAGGTCATCGATCAAAATGGGCAATACATTATTGATTGAAGTTTGTGCTGTATATGAATAAAATGGCCTTAAAATAAACAAAAAAAAGCGTCATGACTTTTCCGACAACCCAATAATTAATATTGCATCGTTATCAACCATTTATGAAAGACAAATGGTATCGTTAATTGAGACAAGAGCAAGATGAGCTTATACCCAGATATTCTGAATCTGTGCCCCGAAGCCCCGACAATGATACTATTTTATAAAGATAAATATGTTGTTAGATTACGATATCTTCTGTTTGTGTGAACATATAAATACTTACAAGTAATGGTATATTTGGGACAGTTATCCTGTCGAGCAAGGGGTCTCCAACAGAATGAGTTGGATCACTGGTGAAAACTCGTTTCGGGTTGTAGCTGACCGTGCCATCAGCGGAAAATGAAACGTTGTTGTGGGTTAGAATTTCCCTGGAAGCAAAAAAAATACTCGGTCAAAAAATGCTCCACTGGTGATATTCGAACACACAAATTTCCGCATTTTAAGCGGAACTTAAAGTACTTGTACACCAGGCTAGGATCAAAAACACAGAAAAAGGTGTCGATGTGGACGTAAGATATACGAGATGCCGCTTAGAAAATTTTAAGTTCAAAGTTCAATCAATTTCGAACGGCGAGGAAGTATTGCGATCTTGAAAAATTTCGAAAATAAGATAAGAGCGACATGGAAAGTACGGTCGGATTTTGATGAAATTTTCACAAAAGGTTACTACTATGATATGGACTAGCTTTATAGTTTTTAAAATGGATCCAGTGATGGCGGAGCTACGTTTGAAGAACGAAAAAAAATCACCCCAACTCTTCAGAGGCTCCTGATCATTTAATACAAACGTAGCGTTTGAAAATTGCAGGGGGCCGAGGGCTAGAAATTTTGCATATTTAGTATCAGTTCTACGTTCACGACGACAGTGCATGGACTAAAACACGACTGTAGTCGATAATTGTTTTTTTCGTTTGTTTGAGTTTTAAATATCTTTTTTAATATGTACCACCGGTGGTACACGACGGCTTTGATGATTCTTTTTTTTTCATTATAGCTGTAGTGTACCACCGGTGGTCACTGAGGGAAATAAAAACTTCAGAACAAAAGCGATGTTAAAGAGGGTAGAAATAAAGCCAAGCGTGCCTCTACATTTTGTAGATAGTCCAGAGCAACTGACTCTTCAATGTTTCAATGAAATTCATACGTAAAGTCATGTTACCTACCTAAATATACTAAGTAACATATATAAATCCGAACACCCAGTTTAAATGGTTTTATTTTAATAAAATTTTGTATAAGTACTTAATGAAGCATAATAAGTAAATGATAAATATTTCAAAATGATTGCACTGCTTTAAAGCCCTTTGACCTTTAATAATGTGTGGATGCACCCTGATGTGCTACGCATTCTCCAACGCGCCTAGGCATGCTTCTGATCAGGTGGTTAATGTCCTCCTGTGGTATCTCATTCCAGGCAACCACCAACTCCTCTCGAAGTGCTTCTAGAGTCTGAGGGGGACGTTGCAAATTGAGCAATCTCCTACCCATCATATCCCACACGTGCTCAATTGGGGATAAGTCGGGAGATCTTGGTGGCCATGGTAACAATGTGACATCATTATGTTGAAAGAAGTCTATTGTGACTCTTGCAACATGTGGTCGGGCATTATCTTGTTGGAAAGTTGGATCTGCCAGGGTGTCAAGATCGGGTAAAAGATGGGGTTCTAGAACTTCGTGGATATAACGCTGCGCGTTCATGTTACCTCTGATGAAGATTAAAGGTGACCTGGAACCATAAGCTATAGCATCCCAAACCATAACTCCAACAGTGTGATGAACATGTCTTTCAACAAAAAACTGTGGATTCCTCCTTTCACCACGTCGCCTTCTAACCCTGGCACGACCATCGTGCATGCCTAAACAAAATCGAGACTCGTCACTAAAGACAATACTGTTCCATTCCTGATCCCAGAGTGACCGTTGTCTGCACCACTCAAGGCGATTACGTCGGTGTTCTCGAGTTAAAGGGAGGACCCAGTGTGGTCGGTATGAAAACAAGCCAAAACTTCTCATTCGTCGGTAAACACTTCGCATGCCAATAGGTCTTCCGTGTTCTGCAAACCATTCATTTGCAATGGACCTGGTAGTGGAGAAACGGTCCCTTAAGGCCAATAATCTTAGGCGGCGATCTTCACGGTCTGTTGTTCTACGGCGGCGTCCAGTGCCCCTTGCTCTTTGCGTACGGCCTTCTCGAAGCCATGCCTGACAACACCTAACCACAGTGTCTACACTTCTTTGCACTCTAACTGCAATTGCCTGAAAATAAAGTCCAGCTTCCCGAAGTCCCACTATACGGCCCCTATCAAACTCACTAAGTTGACGAAATCGTACAGGTCTCCGTACTCTAGGCATCGTAACCGATCGTAAAGGATGTCAAGAACAAAAATCCGCCAACGTTGATTCTTTACTGCGGCTAAAATATTCATTTTTAGAGCGTTAGTGAATTAAAAAAAAGCAGTATAAAAACCGGAATGTCCAACTGATTAGGCTGAAATTTTTTTCACTTGTTATTTACAGTAAGATAAATACATTCACCAACTTTTATTAAAATAAAACCATTTAAACTGGGTGTTCGGATTTATATGTCACTTAGTATATATAAGTGCTTACTGCTATTGTTAGAAAAAATATTTTTGCGTTATTTTTAACTATGTAATTATTTTAACCAATTACTTAGTTTAGTTAATTCATATGGTTGTTACGGTGTGTTTTAAAAATAAAATCTTATGAAAATCATGGATTTTTATACCTCTAATTAAATGTGATATAAAATTCACAATCATAGCCAAATGCGGCACCGGTGGCGCACTAGTGTGTATTTACTATATCTATAGCCATATGCCCAATATACAATTCCTTACTATAAGCCGTAAGGATTGGTAGCGCTGAAATAATCAATTGGCAGTGTACCACGCGTGACGATTTTTGGCAAGATAGGCGATGTACCACCGGTGTACCACGTCGTCGTGAACGTGTTAAGAAGCTCCTGATCCCGGTAATAACTGGAAATGTAAACGACGAAAATCCGATGACAATCCTTCACAATTTAAACGTCTTCTGTAGCCCATGTCTTTATTTAAAATTCAAAACCAGAGTAACTTAAAAAATTTATACGATTGATTGATGGCAATGCGTATAGAAGAATCGTTCATACATTAGAATTCTCCCTGCGAGTGACAAACACGCTCCCAACCTCATCGATGTTTTTTGAAATACAGATAGATGTGTAGAGGTGAATATTTCATCGTCTTTGGAAAACAGACTCTCTCCGTTAAGCTCGTATGATATGTTTTCTTGATGTGTCGTGATATACGTATAGACCCACGCTTCGCTGTTTATTGAGTCATTAACCCCTTTATAATTGAGAAACTTCATGGCTTATATGACAACTCAGATATACAGTGCTTCTCAAAAAACACCCTCTCCCAGAGAAGTTAGAAACCTGAAAGTATGAGTTGATATTTCCTTAGAAACCGCTTCACAACCTTCAGAACTTGTATGGAAATCAAAACGAAACTATACTAAATGACATAGAAAATACAATACCGAATTTAGCGCATATTTTATGTCACTTGGGATAACGTCCACCTTAGATTAAGTATAAGACTCACTTACTTGTAACCATACGGTCCAACTTCTGTAACGTTCAGCTTTTCTTTTCCGCTAAGAAATTCTTCTGCGTTAGTTACGTTGAAAATGTATAGTTTCATCACAAGATCGTATGGCGGAGCTTTCCATAAGCCATACAGTATGGTGCCAGGTGCTAAGTCCAATAACTGAAATACAAAATCAGATAATAGCGGTGATATTCACAATAATATGGATATAGGAACACTTGAAAGTAATCGAGAATTAAGAGGTATTTCTGAACTCAATTTAAAATATGCAACAGAAATATCGAATAAAGAGTATAATAAATACTTTGCTAATAGTCCTGGAAGTATCTTCTAGTCTACTCTAAAAAATATTTCCATTCGGGCTTTTGCAGAATCTTATTATTATATTTTAACGAATCTATATGTTGTCCGATCCAACATTGCGTAAACAATTTTTTAGACAATTTTTTAAACAACTTCCAAAAACAATTTTTGTTTTTTCGGTCATTTTAATAACAAAAAGATTCTTTTGAACTTTTCCCTTAATTTGAAGTTTTCGAGGTTTGATATTTGAATGCATTTGACACATGCGAAAATGCCGTTTTCGGCCCCGAAAAACAATATAAAAAAGCAATAATTTCAGTTTGACCGACATATTCTTTAAAGATCTATTAACAAAATCCGGCATCGTTTTAGGTATTTTTATTTTAAACCTTTTTAACTGTTGATAAGTTCGCTCTCAGTGTTGCAGAAGCTTGAAAAACTCTGTTACTGATAATTCCTGAACTATACTAAGTGACATATAAATCCGAACACCCAGTTTAAATGGTTTTATTTTAATAAAAGTTGGTGAATGTATTTATCTCACTGTAAATAACAAGTGAAAAAATTTTCAGCCTTATCAGTTTTTATACTGCTTTTTTTTTAATTCTCTAACGCTCTAAAAATGAATAGTTCAGCCGCAGTAAAGAATCAACGTTGGCGGATTTTGGTTCTTGACATCCTTTACGATCGGTTACGACGCCTAGAGTACGGAGACCTGTACGATTTCGTCAACTTAGTGAGTTTGATAGGGGCCGTATAGTGGGACTTCGGGAAGCTGGACTTTTTTTCGGGCAATTGCAGTTAGAGTGCAAAGAAGTGTAGACACTGTGGTTAGGTGTTGTCAGGCATGGCTTCGAGAAGGCCGTATGCAAAGAGCAAGGGGCACTGGACGCCGCCGTAGAACAACAGACCGTGAAGATCGCCGCCTAAGATTATTGGCCTTAAGGGACCGTTTCTCCACTACCAGGTTCATTGCAAATGAATGGTTTGCAGAACACGGAAGACCTATTGGTATGCGAAGTGTTTACCGACGAATGAGAAGTTTTGGCTTGTTTTCATCCGGCCACACTGGGTCCTCCCTTTAACTCGAGAACACGATGCATGCACGATGGTCGTGCCAGGGTTAGAAGGCGAAGTGGTGAAAGGAGGAATCCACAGTTTTTTGTTGAAAGACATGTTCATCACACTGTTGGGGTTATGGTTTGGGGTGCTATAGCTTATGGTTCCAGGTCACCTTTAATCTTCATCAGAAGTAACATGAACACGCAGCGTTATATCCACGAAGTTCTAGAACCCCATCTTTTACCCTATCTTGACACCCTGGCAGATCCAACTTTCCAACAAGATAATGCCCGACCACATGTTGCAAGAGTCACAATAGACTTTTTTCAACATAATGATGTCACATTGTTACCATGGCCACCAAGATCTCCCGACTTATCCCCAATTGAGCACGTGTGGGATATGATGGGTAGGAGATTGCTTAATTTGCGCGTTGGAGAATTCGTAGCACATCAGGGTGCATCCACACATTATTAAAGGTCAAAGGGCTTTAAAGCAGTGCAATCATTTTGAAATTTTTATCATTTACTTATTATGCTTCATTAAGTACTTATACAAAATTTTATTAAAATAAAACTATTTAAACTGGGTGTTCGGATTTATATGTCACTTAGTATATAAAGTGAAATCATGTAATATTTCTCATGACTTACCTGGCGAATGATCATTTGAAGTGGGTCGTAGAAATGGATCAAGAACGATGAGCACAACATGATGACCCCAAGCAATGCTATGGTGACTATTTCTGCAACAAAATCAAATGTTTGTTAATTTTTCGTACTAATATCAATTGATGCAAAAAAGTACATGAACGATGCATAACTTTTATTTCAATGCTTCATGATTCGATTGAAATGACACTTCACAATTCTTTCTAACCAGGATGACTACAAGACGTTGGGTCATGCATATTAGAAAAGTTAGATTTCTTATCGTTTTCCTACATTTGTCATAACGTATGCTACTCTCGTACTTTCAAGGCGGTATGATGTAAATTTATTTTTTAGCTATGAGGATGTGGACAAACGTAGAAAAACATGTCTTTGTCTTCAACAACTTTCTAGGGTTTTTCGCTCCTGAAATATATTTCCGCTTCAATCCTTCAGTTTTAGTAATTGCTTGTTTTTCATTTGGTTTGAGCACACTTCTACTCTTCCTGAATTCCGTATTTAATATAGGAAAAACTATATCAGTACAATCAAAGCTTGACCTATTCCAATAATTATATAAACGCCACACCTCTAATTGATAAAAATATATAGTTCATTACTATAATGCAATTATTTATGACTCCTATGTATGCCATTCAGAATATAGGTGAAATCAATCGATTGATGCATCAATGCTGTCTTGATTACGTTGATTGATTTATACCGGATTGCACCTTCAGCTGTTATAGAAAATGGATAACTTATATTCACGGCATCTGTCTGCCTTTATTGAGTCATTTAAGACATTTATGCTATATTGAATGGCACAGTTCAAACTGTAAATAAAATTGCCTACTGAAATATTATAGACAAAAATTTTAAGATCTGCATTACAGGGTTAACCAAATATTTACTGATAATTTGAGAGTTTAACTCGGTACGACACTGGCTTCTTGTTCAATGTACATTTTGGGAGAAATATAAATATACTCAGTGATATTAGGAGCGTCACACCCAGAAAAAATAATATATTCAGCTTGTTTCTTAGTCAACCACGTCAACATTTTATCTTTGTTTTTGTTTACCTTTGTTAAAATGTTATCTCTTTTGAAGCAATGAGTTTCTGAGAGCTGAGTAGTACAGATATCTTTAGTTATTGCCCTTTCATTAACTAGTGTTACGCATAAAAAAATGCCTCGAGTTCGGAGACGTCCCAATTATCATCACGTTAGCGACGGCGACATTGCCTATCGAGATGCTGGTTTGTCCTATCGCGAAATTAGACGCCGTGTTAATTGCACTGCATTGACGGTAATTCGTGTGTGTCGTGTGTGAATAGAAGAAGGTAGAGGAACACGAAGAAGGCCAACTAGTCAACCGAGACGTACCACAGACCGTGAAGATAGGCGCTTGAGACAACTAGCCCTACGAGACCGTTTTGCTACTATGTGACAGATCGCTTATTACTTGTTGATAAAGTAAAAAAATCAAGTTTAAGTAATTAATTTTTCTGGGTGTAACACTTCTAATGTCAGAGTGTATTATTAATACTTGATACCAAGCTGCGTGCAAATTTTTCCAGAAATGCTATATTGATAAGGAGCTATAAAACAACGCGACTTTAGTTGTAGTTATGCTTTTCTCATGTACTGGACAGTTGATTAACCAATTAAAAAGAATCACATAAACTTAATAGGCGTTATCCAGATGCGTCACGTAAATTCAACGTGTAATTTCTTCCTGATCATTAATTACGATTTTATGGTGAAATGGAAAAGACTTGTACATAGTTATGGATAATTTGCAGTACATCGAACAGATAAGCAAAGTATAAATGTACATTGTTTTTAATTGTTTTATGCTTTGTCTGGTCGAACACGTAATAGCAGATTTCAATCATATAAGAAAAAGTAGATCGACTCAGTACCTTGTACGCATATGAAATTATTACAAATAAAGGTACTCGATTATTTTTTTTATTTATATTTTTATATTTGAAGTCTGAGGACTTTTTCGTTTTTCGCTTATAACTTCGCTGCCACGAAAATTTTGGAAAAGTTTGGAGCGGATCAAAGATCTGACTAATGACTCATATAATGTTTTTAAAAATTGGTAGGTGGCGGATCCGTTGATGATATCAGCGATGTTGCCAAATCTACTGCTTTTTTAGCAACTGATAGCAACTTTTATTTTTTATGGAATGCTGCGAGAAATTAAGAATACTTTTAATTTGATATGATTTTTATCTTGAGTTTACAGTTTTATCGTTCTATTATTTGTTTAATATGTAGGTGTTGTTTTCCCTGAAACAAATAAAGCCTTTTTGTTTTGTATTTACGGTCTACTCGTATGTATATTACAAACATCAAAACTACTTACATTTTCAAGTGCTTGACAGACAGAGCTAAAACCAGTTTAGCTTTATTATCAGATTGCTAATATCTACTTGAGCTTGACTTAATTTGAAGTCCAGCAGGTTGAACATCAAGTCAAGAAGTGAATCTCTGTTAAAATCCTGGCATTGCTTTCAAAGTTTTGGATATAATTTTATTGGTGGATAACATGATCCAAGGCAAGTTGCGAAGTTTCCAATAGACTTAAGTTCCTTCGTAATTATTCCTACGCACTCTCAGAGTTTATCAACGATCAAAATGGAAATCTCATACTCTAAGGTAACAGTGCGATAGACGGCAACACTGGCTGTTAAAGATGGTGATCGACACGTATACAGTTCTGAGCATATATGGTTAGTGGCGCCACTATGCCCTCATCCGTACTCGGCTTTTGATTGATTTTGATATAGCTACAAAACGTCTCTAGTTCCTACAAGCGACGCTGAGATTTGTAGAAGTACTAGTCGTTTAAGCACATGAACAGGACTAATTATCCTATTATATACACGTTAATACCAATAAGCGTGGCAATGCTTTTGGAGTAGAAAATGCATTCAAATTTACTCTTGAAAGATCTGAAAATCCACATGTCGTCATAGAAATACCAATGCATCCAAAAAGAGTAACTGTATGGTACGGCTGTTGGAGTGGTGGTATTATTGGTCCCTACTTTTTAAAATATGAAGATGGTAACATGGTGACGGTAAACGAGAAACGCTATAGAGACATGTTGAGGAGTTTTTTATTAGACGTCATGCACTTGCACGATCTCTGGTTCCAGCAGGATGGCGCACCATGCGACACCAACCGTGAAACAATCGGTCTTTTACAAGTTCGGTCATCGCGTTATCGGCCGTTTTGGAGACGTTCATTGGCCAGCCCGCAGCTGTGATTTGACGTCCATGGATTACTACACTATGGGGTACTGTTAACTGGGCTCATAGAATCACGAGCACCATCTGCTGAGGTAACGGGGGGGTGAAAAGGAAACGAGGGTGGGTTGGGCCTAGACGGTCCTCGGCGCTACTTTAAAAGAGGAAAGGATGACTGCGCGTGCATACCAAGCTAAATTTTTATAATAACCAGAGTCGGATTTCGATTAGCGATCTAGAAGTAAATCGTTTTTTGCAAGAAGACGTCATACCTTGGAAGATGTGCTGCAGCTGTAGTGAGCCACAATACCCAGCGGCCAGTATATCTGGTCTAAATACATTTGCGTTCTAAGATTAGTCCAACCTCGCTTATCGCTAAGATGGAACTAAGACTCAAACGCAAGAATCTTGAAAAGAAACTCAGACCAAAAAAAGCTGATATAAAAATAACTAACAATTCGGATAGCAAAAACCTGACATTAACTACATTGAGTTGGAGGTTGCTAAGCGAAAATTTTTAGGGAAACTTGAAAAAAGTGACGACGAGATTTTGCAGATCGAACAAGTCACAAAATCACAGGACTGTACTTTGTAGCGCCTTCATCGGAGGATAAGGTTGACAGCGTCTCGATTTGGTGAAGTTTATAGAAGAAGGCAGACAACAAGCTGTAAAGTTCTAGTAAATTCCATCATATACCCAACAGAGTTTTCTAGTAACGCAATAAAAAAGGTAATACAAAAATCATTGGACACCGCAGTTCAGTCTTGTGGTTTGTTTATTGATCGCACACATCCAAGAAATGTACTTAATCCAGGTATAAGCCTACCTGTTTATTGCTTTGCAAAAACTACCTAACTGTTTCCTCTGATTTTCACTGCATAAGATATTTTTATGACTCTCATTCAATTGTTACCATGTACCACATGACCCTTGTAAACAGAATTGTGTTTACTGACATGAATAAACGAATTTTAATTTGAGTTCTTGAATTTATTTTAGGAAAGATATCAAATTATTTGAATACATTTTTTCTTAGTCGGAACGCACGGTCGCGTCGCTTGGACTGGCAGGACGAAACAGTGGACGAATTTCGACCAAAAACCGATTTGCACTTCACAGCTTACGTTTCATTTTTTATTATTTCCAGATGAAACTCTTGCAGCGTGCTAAAAACAACGTCCATAGGGTGCTAACGATCCACTTTTTCGATTTTATCCACTAGGATCTTTTTAAAGTATCAAGAAGTTGAGCACAAATTCGATATTAAGCATTTCAACCCACCATAATTCTTGCGCAACGACAAAATTTTGTAAAACGCTCTGATAACACCTTAGGCAATTATGTCCTGCTTATATCCAGAAAAACTTCACAAACTTCAGAACACAAATTGAACGTAACGGCGAAATGGGTACATTTCACGGCTCATGAAATCCAAATGAAAATGCAGGTATAAAATGTACCAAATTATCGTTCTCAAAAACATATTTCCTTGACATATCGATAATTTTAAAGTACCACGCGAAATTCCCTTATACTTGACTGAAGTTTCCTGCATATTACGTATACCGGATTCTATATTTGTAAATGATCTTCCTCATTTAAAACCGTATCTGACACTTTCCCTTCCTTCAATTATCATCTAATTAGCCTATTTTTACTGCGGTAACTACTTCTGTACTACGGTTCCGCGTTTTTCTCCTAATTGTAGACTTAATGGTTCCAAATTCACGTGGACTAGCGTCCAACTGCCCAAACAGTTCATATCGGCACGTACACATATTCATTTGTTTTTAATTGTCGCCGCTAACTGAATAAAGATTACTAATGCA